TGGGTGCAGGGTATTTAGGAGTTGCGCCCGCCATAGCAAGTTAACGAAATCCAGGACAGCAGGATGAATATGTCCAGACTGATTTCTCTCACCATACTTAATAGGAATATAATCGGTAATGGGTTCGGATATGCTTCAAAACGAGGAAGTGGACAGAGTAAATATAAAAATCAACCACATCAGATCATAGAAACTATTCTGCAAAAAGAGTTGTTTTGTATCTATGCTATCTACAGTATCATAATCGCAACACTTTAACTAAATGAACCCCATTAGTAGCTCGCCTCATTTAACTGAATGTTCGAAATATACAGCCATATCTTTACACACATGAATGCAGGGACAACCACCTGGTGAAATGAGTTATTATACCCTGTACCCGTAGGGTAAAAAGGGTATATTAGGTTTGTGCAAAGTATGTAACATACAGAAGGAAGCATCTCCGACCCCATAAAGTATATATATTCTTGATCAGCATGACGAGAGAAATCGATCTAGACATGTCCGTCCGTCTGTCCGTCTGTCCGTCCGTCTGTCCGTCCGTCTGTCCGTCCGTCTGTCCGTCTGGATGAACGCGAGGATCTCAGAAACTATAAAAGCTAGAATAACCAAAGTTGGCATCCAGATTCTCCTAGGTCCGAGTAAGGACGAGTTTATTTTTTTTTTTTAAATTTTCCCCCCCTTCCCCCGCTGCAGAATTTCGTCAATAGCGTCCACATTTCAAATGCTACCTACACCAAACTTTGCACACATAATTTATATATAATTGGTGTTCTACTGTTCTACTGGTGTTCAAAATTTTATTCAATTCGGTCAATTCTAAGAAAAGTTATTAGCGAAACAAATTCTCGCCAGTACAACCCCCACAAACTGCAGCAACAAGTTCACTCTTCTTCTTCCTCTTTTTGCTGCTGCTATGGGCGCATATAACTCAGTGACGGAAGTTTATCTGGGTACAGGGTATTACATGTCGGGCTTGCTCGACTGTAGCGTTCTCTCTTGTTATTGAATTAGTTTAGTTTTCACCTGCACTGAACAATCAGACCTATTTGTAGCGTTCCTTCGCTTATGCATCAGCCTCAGCTATGACTGTCATGTAACAACGGTCTCAATCGACGCTGCCGAAAAATTCAACAGCAATATAGAAGTGACAGCAGCATTTTCGTCGGTGTAGCCCATACCATTGAAATAAAGGTCAAACGCCTATTTGTTGTTGTTTTTAAGTAACTGTTGTCGCTGTTTGTTGTTTTTGTTGCCTTTGCAGCCTGATCGCTTTATTTAATTGGAAGCTCTGCTGCGCTAAGATTTGGAAAATTTCACTTTAATGTGAGCTCCTTCAAATAATGTCTTCTGAGAGGAATTATAGTAATGATTCTATAGGATACCCATTATAAGACCTTGATAAGCGAGAATATTTCTACTACGAGACTATTAGAGCGTTTCGCGTGACAATGAAATACAAAGCGAACAGAACATCATATTGGGAAAATCTACAGAAGAAGAAACCAATTTGTAACTTCTATAGCATCAAAAATATATCTAAAAAATATATAAAATATATATCTTACATCTTTGATTCTTGATGTGTAGTAAAATGTTTATGTAGTATAGATTTAGCCTCAAAATTGTACATATACATAGTATATCTATACTAATATTATAAAGAGGAAAGATTTGATTGTATGTTTGTTTGTTTGAATTGAAAAGGCTCCGAATCTACTGGACCGATTTAATGGATTCTTTCACTGTTGGGAAGCTACACTATCGACGGTGAACATGGGCTATATTATATTTGCAAAAAAGAATGGAATCCTAACTAAAACGCCAATAATGTACTGCCGCCACATGAATTGGAGGTAAAATTCAGAATTGCAATCATGCTTTTGAGAAATTAAAGCCTTCCAAGCATGTGCAATGGGACGAGGCTGCTTTTTAAGGAATTGCAGGACAATTTAAGTGTAGCAACTATTATCAACGGCCCAGCAACTGGTCAACTAGCTCATATAACGAGGATACCGATGATCAATCACGGGTCGGAGCTCCTGAAAATCCATTTATTTTGCTACCACAAAATAAAACATCAAATATCTTTTACAGAGAACCTCTGACCCAATAAAGAATAACAAAAAAAATCTATAAAAGAACAAGAAATCATTAAAATAATAATATCCAAAGTAAATTTTACTCCTTCTTAGTAACTCATAGCAAAAAGAATGGTGTATGTGTGTAATGAAATGAATATTTTTTGAAATTTTTGTAAAAATACCCGTGCGAAGCAGGAGCAGGACACTAGTATACTATATATTAAATAAGTTTAAAGTTACTGCGGGTTCGTGACACCTGTGTATTAGTGCCTTCGCCACTTCATGGACTGCAGTGCATGACAATTGCGTATTGCGCCACCTAGGGTCTCCTTCGCACATACCTAGTTTCTGAGCGCATTGCATAGGTGGCGCCAGCATCACCCGCTCTCTATTGTTTTTTTCTAGCAAAACTTAGTTAGGACACAAACCAACGCACCAAGTCTGAAGAAGTGCTGCCAATTTGAATAATGCCCGCCAGCTTAGTAGTTTTTTGAATTTTGACTTCGAGATAAACAAAGATGAGGATGGATTTGATGCTAGGCGCCTTTGTCACAATGAATCACAATAATGCCTAATACTTAAAATTAACTGTACTTTCTTTTAGCCTATTAACAAACATCTGACCAAACCATAACATGGTACATATTTAATGATTGGAAATGATTCTAAAAAGAGTATTAGTTCTCAAGTAGTTTTCCACGCGTCCAAATGGCACTTTTACGCTCTGATAGCAATAGTCGATATTAAAATATATTTTAGAGAGTGTATTCAGATCTAAACAAAAACGGTTGACTCATACTACAGGACCTTTGTGACCTTGTTTTATTCTGTGTCCAATGATACATAGAACTTACAAAAATCACTCTATCCATTCACAAATTATAAGGATTTGCTTTTCAATGTTGTAATCCATAGGAATTAAATCGTTAAGTTAGATAAGAACTTGTACATAAGTGCACATAAGTCCAAGAGACTTTATTAGACACTATGCGAACTGAAGTCGACCGTTAAAAGCGCTTAGACATATTCGCAGGCTTTGATTCCAATTTGTTGTCTCATCTTTCGCCCTAACCAGGCTAAAAGGCACAAACGTTACAGTAAAATTATGACGGAACCATATTGAAAACTGAACCAAGTGCTGAAGGTCTTAGGGTATTGGGGATATTCGTTCGCACCCATTCGTTCGCACATTCATTGTTATTACTTTTCCTGCTGCAGAGTCAAAGTGGATGGAGCTACTAGTTTTGCTTTAAAAGAACATATTCTGGTTTATTATAATATCCTACTCCAGTAGACTTCTCCTTATTAACCTGCCTTCTTTGACTCTCCGTAGGATAGTGTTTGGTGTTATGTTGCTCCACAAATTGATTGTCGGAGATGTTGATTTCTCTATGCTTTTAGGTTGTATTAACTTTTCTGTTCCTTTCAGACCAACAAGGAACTTATTATTTAAGTATTTTAGTTTGAAATTGTTTTCTTTTATCTTTTATTGGTATTTTTATAGCCTGTACCCAAATGGTGAAAGGCTATACTAGTGTTGTGCGAATGTATGTAACAGGCACAAGGAGGCGTGGCAGACAGGGTGATCAGGGTGACAAGCGGAGTCGATATATCCATGTCCGTCTGTCCATCCGTCTGTCCGTGTGACCGTCCGTCTAGAATTACCAAATAAGCCATATGCAGGTCAACTTTATTATACTCTGTACATAAAATGTACGTTTGCGGGAGCTGAAAATGTAACAGGCAGACCCCACAAAGTATATATATTCTTTATCAGCATTACGAGACGAGTCGATCTAGCCCTATCTGTCTGTCTGTCCGTCTGTCCGTATGAACACCTGGATCTCAGAGACTATAAGAGATAGAGACACCAAACTTTGCACAAAGATGCCTTATGTGTGTACGTTATATGAGTTTGTTTTATTTTTTTGATTTCCCCCCCCCCCCACTACCCCTATGGGGGCTTTCCCGATTTTCCATTCGTATAATCGCCTATATCTCGGAGACTATAAGACCTAGGAATACACAATTTTACTCCAAGATGCCTTATGTGAGTACGCAGAAAATGTGTATTTTGGAATGACCCTCCCTCCTCTCCCATGCAAATCGTAACTCCCGTAATTCTTGGAATTTCGAACTCAAATTTGGCAAATACCCCCCGTTAGTTATTATACAAGTTTCACTATGATAGACCGATTTAGCAAAAAGTTATAGCGATAAATATATTTGCTGCCCAAGCGCTGCCCGCAGTGGTTGTTGATGCTGGTGCTTTGGTTGACTGCAAACATGTTTCCACAGACACGAATAGATGCGCATAGGCATTCATACACTCATATAGACGCAATTCCTTTGTATATGTGCAACACGACGACCAATGGTGCCAAAACAAAAATTGTATTTAATTTAATATTTATTAAATGTCATCTACACTCAATTGAAATTTTCCTGGGTGCGTTATTACTTGTATTTATTTTATTTTGATTCCAAACGAGTAGAACGCCTGCCCGCCTGCACCGTACCCCACAATTCTTCATCTTAAATCAACTGCTATGTAAATTTCTGGAACAAAATATGAAATGATTTCCATAAGATTAATAATTATTTTTGTTCACAATATGTATAATTTCGCGAATTTGAACTCGGATCGGACTATCACTAGTACATTAAATGGCTGTGATAGAATGGGTAAAGATTTAAGTTTTGAGAAACACCAAAGATAAATACAAGTATCTATGTAATTTAACAGCGGAACATCTCTCCGAAGATAACAAATAGTACGAACTTGGTTGTAAATAAAACAAACAATCTCTGCATTTTTTATAAATTATGTCTATTTATTTACACATATAACAAATTTTGGGCATATATTTAGTAAAAAAAAACACAAAAAACAAATTTCCAAATCAAAAAGTGCAGAATATAATGAATAAGAAAAGAGGGGAGGCAGCAATGCATTAAGCATTGGTGAAACCCAAATTTTCCAAATTGAATCCTATATACTAGTATAATTAAATAATTTCAGGATACATTCGTAAAATACGCTTACATTCAAAATTCTAGTAGTTCTTTTTTAAAAAATGGACGCAGCCAGCACAGTATTGGGTTATATCTGGACACTGCTTCGACTTGCACAGAGTCCAAAAAGGACTCGTAAAGTCTACTAATATGGAAAACTTGTTTTGTTGTTATCTAGGTTGTTCCTTGTAAAAATCGTTTGTTCATTAACTAAATTATTTAGAAGACAAATCATTGGACTTAGCTAATACACGCTTTAAAAATTACACAAAACAATTTCAATATTCTAGCTAAGGAATTATCTTAGGGTCTCAGAAAGGTGACGCTTACATTAGGGCTTAGGCAAATGGGTGCGGCTTAGCTTAGGAGTCGCTTAGAAATACAGTTACAGTACAGGACGGTTGGATAGGCAATACTTGTACAGTAGAGCAGAGAGATAGTTTGGAAAGAAGGAGGAGTAGATTACAGTAGAGAACAGTGGAGTGAAGTGAAGATGGTGGAGATGGAGTATCTTAGACCTGCAATCGAAACTTATTTAGTAAATTACACACAAAAGCTTCTGCTGCAAATATTTCATCCAAAAAGTGTATTCAAAAAGTGCGAGTTCAAAATCCTAAGCTGGCTTCGGCGCCGCTGCAATAGCAGCTTTCTTGTTTCTGCCCACCTGTGCAGGCGGCTGTGGGGCACCGCTGCCCTCCATTGAACCACTCTCCGCGTCCGAGTCCTTCATAGATCCGCCCTCCTCATCGCCCACAAGCGCACGATACTTCTTCGCAATGGCTTCCCAATCGGCCACATTCTCAATCCGATTCTGGTTGGCCGCAGAGAAACTGGCCTGCGAGCCAAGCGGCGAGAGATGCACCTGGGAGAGTGCCACCGAGTCTGGGGGGATCAAAGCACATTATTAGATATATTTACAAATCACACAGATGAGCGGATATCGGAAGTGAAGAAAGAAATTTTGAGCTAGAGCGCGCCAATTGTAGATAGAAAGTTCAGTTAGTTAGAAAGTATTACACAGAGCATAGGATAGTATGGAGTCAGAGAGAGAGATAAAGGGAGCATTCGTCTTTAGCTTAACATATCTTGCACTTCGCTTGGGTGGATCTGTGATCCAGGCCTGTGGGCTTACCCCGCCACACAAGCAGTTCTGCAGCGATACATACATGGCTCACCTTTCTTGATCTTCGATAGCCATTTGGCGCCGGCTTTCGTTCGCGGACTGGCTTGCCGTATTCCCATCATCTGAACCAGACTTGGACGCTTCTTTTTCTTCATGCGTGCCTGTGGCGTGTGTAATGTACGAGTATTCAAGGCGCATTAGACAGGACATACGGGTGTAACGAACATGTAGATATGTAGATAGACAGGAGACACGAAACGACAAGAACATTGAAATGAGCAAATACAAGGACTGCACAGGAAGCGTCTTTAGGGTGCGTGCGGCAGTGCTACGGTGCAGGACTTGAACACGAGTACTTGAGGTGCAGGAACAAGAGAGGTGCTGGGTGGAGGGAGGTGATGGGTTGTAGGTGGTAGGTGGTAGGTGGTAGGTGCAAGATCACACAGTCACAGTTGTGCGGGCAACACACTTAAAGCTCTGGTATTAGAAATCATAAGTTCATTTCTGACTCTATCTTTTGCTGTTGTTGCCAAATTGCTTTAAATGGGTTGGGGAAAAGGTCAGCAACCAGTTGGTCTTATTGGCTGCACACAGTCCCAGTGTTTTCTTAAACATCTTGGCAGAAGTTCGTGAAGAAAACTGGCCTTTTTGTAATCAGAGAGTAGCCAGCTCGAGGAGCTGTCGTAATACACACATGATATTTTACCTTGACCTTCTCGACGATCCACATAAACCAGGTGGTAACTAAATTAAGCGGCGATGGCGCTGTTGTGGTGCGATGCATGTTGCGTATAAGCTTGGACAAGCCAAATTTCCATTCGATGTCGGATTGGGCCTAGTATTTGATAGGTTTTTGGCGATTTGGTTTTTGTACAGAGTGGTGCATGATGGTATTTGGAATGAGGCATGATCAGAATAGAACGAGAACAAGTAGAGTGATCAGTTTCTTTGATGAGAGATCGTGTCAGGCTTTACAGTGTTGTAAAACGCATTTTCTAAGAGTAACTTAAGCGCTGCAACAGAAGAGTGTCATAAGGGAAATACACAAATGTAGGCGCCTGTTTTGCTTAACAATTCCCGACAACGGCAACACACGACTGGGCCAGCTCCTCTACATAAATTGTTACACAAAACGCGGCATTCCCATTCCCATTGGTATATTTCTAGAGACTGTTAACTTAATGGCGTGACGACACACAGACACACACACGATATAGTAGTGTAAGCATGCAGCAACGGTTTAAAGCTTGCTTATACAAGCACTGGACACAAAAGCTGAACTGGGCACTAATCTAGGGAAGGAACTAATACGTATACACTATAGGCGTAGCACATTTGCTAAACTAAATCTAAATTGAAGCTAAGTTGCATCTGCAAGATACAATTGGCTCTTCAAAATGTATCTCTCAGAGCACTATTTGTTTTCTTCAACATTTCATTTGAAAAAACCTAGAAGTTGCAAGTCTGGGCAGTTGATGGATCTACAAAATATGCCGTTCCTCAAAGGATTCTTCTCTCATTTGTAAACCATCGGTTATTATTTTTTGCATGCCCTGAAATCCTTAAAAACACAATGAAATTATTTCGAAAGGAAAAGTATTCAATAAAATAGAATTTATAATGCAAGATCTCAAGCGCTATCTCTTCTTGTGTATTAGAAGTTACCTGTTCTCAGAAAATAGTTTCACAATTAAATAAAAAACTAATAAAATTATTTCCGAAATAAAATGAAAATTTCGCGAACGAAGTCGAACTCTTGAAAATTGAAATTGAAAATGGGATTGGTTTTTTGTTGGACAAATAGCGAGTGTTCTTATTTTAAAGACGGCATGCTTTTAATTATGAAAACTCTACGTTAAAAAGAAATAAATTTGTTATCATCATTTTAGGAACAGGCGCGGGTTAAAGTATTGTTATCAGTGTAGTTAAGTTAATTGTTAAAATGCAAATAGATCTCTTAAACTTAGTTCGCAGTCTAAAAACAGTTGGTCGCTGGAAAAGACTTGGGGTTATTAGGAAATATCATTCAATTGGTATGCAATAATAAGACTATAAATAATTGTATGTATATAAGTAGTAAGGTTAAGTATGTGTGTGGCATAAGAGTTCGAAGAGCTTGAAGCTTCATTAGCAATACTACCTGTATTCTCTGATAGGTGTCTGACATCATAGCAATCAGCAGGTTAATGAGTACAACCACCGACACCAACATGTAAATGCCAAAGACAATTTTGAACAGATACTCAACCCAATACGGTTGAGTGGGCGTGGCTAAATTTTTGATTTTGTCAACTTGCGTTTGCTCGGTCGTCGTCTGACCGAACACGGCGAAGAACAGCAACTCGAATGAGTTTATCGGATGCATGCGCACTGTGTCGTTAAACAGACACCCCCACGCACACACACACACAGACACCCACACACATGTAGATAAACACACGAGTGTGTGGGAATGCAGGAGAATGATTTGAAAAATAAAAAGATAACGGACGCCCAGGACGTGCGGTTGGCCAATTCGCCGTTAATTGTCCAATCGACCAACCCAACCACCCCAGTAGGAGCGGGAACGTGCGCCAATTGCGGTTCAATTTGCGGTTGGGGTTGTTCCCGTTGTTGTAATTGTTGTTGTTGACGTTGTTGTTGCCGAAAGCGATTAATGATATTGGAGGAACGGAAACGAAACGAAAAAGAGCAGAAAAGAGGCAAGAGATTAGCGGCATTGTCAATACAAACCTGTATGCGCTGATAAGTATCCGACATCATGGCAATTAGCAGGTTAATGAGTACAACCACAGACACTAACAAATAGATGCCGAAGACAAACTTGAATAGCACTTCGGTCCACTCGGGACGCAAATGTCGCATGGGATTGATGTCCACGGTGGTCGTTTGTCCGAAAACGGCGAAGAAGAGACGCTCAAAGGCCAGAAAGGGCGTCATGGGTCCTAACAGCGAACGTGCATTGGGTTCGGACGGTACGGGGGATTTCGTTTGCGAAAAGTTGGGCATTAGTAGGCTAGCTAGACTTTAAGGAATTTATTGTAGATAGCACTGCAATACTTGCTGCACATTTACGATATGGATAGAGTACATGTACTTGTATTTATATGCGATATTGTTCGGCACAGGCGTGTGTGCAATACTCGTATGTACTTATGTATAACATTGCAGGTAACATTGTTGTTGTTGTTGTTGTTGTTGTTGTAGCTCTTATTACATATGTACTTGTACGTGTATGTACTATATTATTTGATTTGGTGGGTGTGCGTCAAAAGCAGCAGAACACGTTCGCATCCAAATAATCGGCCAACACATACACACACATACGTGTCATCAGTTGTTTCGATTGGTATTGTATGGCATTCGCCGTTGATTGTGCAGAAATTTGGTGTGACAAGCGGCACAAGCTAAGCCCTCGAAAGGCAGCGCAATAGTCGGAGTATATTGGATATTGGATATTGGATATATTGTGGTATTATTCTTAAATATTTCATATGCGACATCAACATGCAGTATTCAAATTTGGCTTTTATACACGTTTCTAATTAGGCTTATTTCGATATACCGATAACCAAAAAAGCGAGAATCAAAATAAAAACGTAATTTAGTCGTAAGTCAACGGAGCTCCTCCTCTTCTCACTCTTTTACTATGAAATTACTTTGGAAGTTACCCCAGCTTAAGGCAACTTTTCCAAATATATTTGCTCTACGGTCCGAACAAACAATCGAGAAACCATTGAAATGAAATGGAAACAATAAAAATCTACGGTCATACATTAAGTTAGTTAGTTCCATTTTTCTCTGGATAGATGTAATCCATGCGCAGATACGCAGGAAACTATGGGAGCAGAGCCTAGTTGAATTTTACAAAAAATTGAAACTTGTGGAACTTTCTAATAGTTTGCCTATCTTAACTAACATCAGCTCGAGATCTGTGTGATTCTATATTGAGTCTCTTCCATCAATGTGAACTTGCTATTCATATCATATAAATTATTTAATTTCCAATTATTCCACTGATAGAAACATAATAAGCAAATAAATTCTTGAAACTTCTCTGCACTCTGCTTTAACTTCCCCACTCTGCCATTTCCATGAGTAATCAGTATATGAGCCTTTTTCCCACTTAAGCACCCACTGTCAGCAATATCCATAGGTAATCAAACAAAAAGGATCAAGCGTAAATAAAGCATGCTTCAAACTAAAAACTAATGAAATAATCGAGTTATGCAATTTTCAAAACTAACGACCATTCCAGAGAAATTGTTGTTGTAAAAGAAGGAAAAGGAAATGAAAAAAAACTACAGCACGTGATACCTATGAACATTTATCCACAACATCAAGGATGCACATAACATAGAACGGTTTCCTCTGACAAAAAACATGCCTCAAAACGAAACGAACTCAAAAGCACTCAAAGAGCAAGGCTATACGGTAGGTAGTATGTGTGTGTGGATTTGCTTTTTCCATAGAACTGGAAAATAAAGTAAGTAATGAGTATAAAAACTTTACACACAACATATAAGGCGCACTGTGTGATTTCAAAAGGGAAATCCCACAATAAGAGCACGCGGAGGCTCATGCAGAATGCATAGAAGGAAACGGAACTTACGATCATCTTTATGTTTGCGTCGGAACTCGCTGAAACGACTGTCGATATAGTTTTCGACTGGCGGGGGACGCGGTGTTGGCATATCGTCTGCGATCATATTATGTGGAATCGAAGAAAGTGGTTAGTCATGTCGTCATTAGAAGTGAAAACGGGGCAAGCTGGCAATGGGATAGGGCGGGTAGGGGCTACAAAGAGGGTGTTGCAGCACAAGGAAACGTGATGACATCATACTCGAAACTGAAGGATCTCTGTAGTTTTGGTAGTTGTAGTTCTAGCATGCAATTGTTGTATTTTGTGGTTGTTTGTTTGAATGAATTCTCATTCTGTATGTGAGGGTGAACATTGAGCACAGACAGTTTTATTCAAGGCAGATACTTATCAAGACACATTGAACGATTTATGTAAGTAGGTAAGGTTAAGGAAACATTCCAAATCATAAACAAATACATATCAAAGTAAAAGGCACAATGAAACGGAGATCGGAAGCAAAGCAAACGTGTGGACTTACCGTCGCTGAAATAGCCACGATTGCGATTCTTCTTCTCGAAGCTGCGCAGATCCTCGGGCGTAAAGTTCGCAAACGACTGATTGAGTGCCACTATGTGCATTGAAAAGCCGAATACGAAGATGGCCAAGACAGCCAGAAAGCGTGCCAGATCCTTGAGCAAGTCGCCGATGATGATTGCCCATGGTCCGAAGAGATGATGGAAGGACAGAAAGTCGAGTATTTGCACGCAGGCAAGCAAAAATGCGAGGGCAAAGCATTGGTTTCGACAGTAGACGAGTGTGGGCCAGTACTCCTTGGAGACGAAGACAAAGGCAGCGACGTGCACTCCCACGCCTGCCATGCCAAGCAACAGGACCAGCACCTTTATCGATCCCAATCCAGATTTGTCGGACGGATTCGTCAACTCGAACAAAAGTAGACCGCTCAACCAAATAAGCAGGCCTATTTCGTACCAGTAGGGGACCAGACTCAGACGCAGCACCGGATATATTGGCGTGATACCGACAATACTCAGGTGGATCATGAGGTAAATGTGCGATGTGAGGTAAGACATGAACTTGATTATCGGAACTTTGTTAAACTTGTGCCCCATTGGAAATGTGAAGCCAATCCACACTGGCGGACAAACGATGAACGCCACCAGCAGCAACATAATCTTCCAAGAGGCCCAGGTCAGTGATCCATGCCAGAGTTCCTATGGAAGAACAAGATTCAAGAGTAAGCGAAAATTGGTGGTTTGAAATCGAAGAGAACACACTTGCAAATATCTTTGTACTACGGTGTGCGCGATCACTTCCTTCTGTTCATTTTCAATGAGAACGTCGAGGAATTCCACGTTGCGCTTATCGGTGGCTTGTAGAATCTTACCCGCCGAGTCGGAGCCGGCTGCCAAAGCGAGCAACTCGGTGGCCATGGCTTCGCACTGTTTCCCCGCGGCCACCAAGTCCTTGGCACGCTCTTTCTCCTGCAGACAAAAATGATGAAGTCAACGGGAGATATTCGTTTTATAATAAAGCTCACCTTGGTGGAGAGCGTTATATAGATATTGGAAAGCTTGGCCGCAGTATCCACCGGAGCCGGAGAGACCAGTACAAACTCCTGTATGGGCTTGTTGTTGTGATTCTTAGAGACTACCATAAGATTATACACAAATCGCTTGTCCTCCATCAAACCGTAGGTGTCGTGCTCCTTGTTCATCAGGTATCGCAAGACCTCGTTGTGCCCCTCGGAGGCGGCAAACCATATAGCTGCACAACCATAATTCGTCTCCGATTTTGGCGAGGCGCCCGCTTCGCACAGCAGCTTCACCACATCCAAGTGGCCGGCTTTGGCAGCACAATGCAGTGGCGTCCAACCGTTGCGATCGGTTGCATTTATCTCCGCGCCCTGACCCAGCAGAATCTCAACCATCTGAAAATGACCATGCATGGCTGCTATGTGCAGACCCGTGCGACCATTCCGATCTGTCGATTGGAGGAGTTCCGCCGAGCGACTCAAAAGCAAACCAACCACTGACATGTGTCCACCGAAGCAAGCCAAATGGAGCGGATTGTAACCCTGTAGAAGAACTATTTAAATCTGCTCCTCATGCACAGGATTGAGTTCAACTTACGTTCTCCACGGTTGCCGCATCGACCTGCACGCCCGCCGAATTCAACAGCAGCCTCACAACGTTTTCATTACCCGAGAAGGCCGCCAAATGCAACGGAGTCATTCCCGACTCTGTGCCCAACTCACCAAACAGACTCTGGCCGGTTGGGGTTTCCGACTTCACTGTAGCCGGAACGCTTGTTAGCAGCTCGCGCACTGTGTCCGCCTGACCGTAATAGGCCGCGACATGTAACGGCGTTAATCCCAGCTTCTTGCTGTTTATCCTCAAGGAGTTTGTGCTCTTCAAAACATCCAATACCGCACCGTGCCCGTTTTGCGCGGCCAAATGTACGGCTGTGAAGCCTGCCTTGTTCTCCTCGGTGCAGGAGGCGCCGGCACGCACCAAGGCCTTCACCACATCGGCGTGTCCACCCTCGGCGGCTAATTGCAGGGGAGTGGCGTCGGTCAATTTGTTTCTAGCCGATATCACGCCAGACCGATCGAACTTCATCAGCTCCTCGATCACCTTCACCGAGCCCTGCATGGCGGCGATGTGTGCGCATGTATTTCCATCCTTACTGGTTGCATTTACCAGCGACGGGTGCTGCTGCAGGAACAGTTTGGCCACTTCAGAGTAGTTGTTCTGCGCGGCGACATGTATGGGCTTCTGGCCCAGATCGTCGGTCGCGTCTATGTCAGCTCCCAGCTCAAGCAGCAGCTGACACACCTCCATCTGCCCGCTGGCAGCAGCCAAATGGAGTGGAGTTTGCTTACGCAAAGTCAAAATGTCGATGACTGCATTGTGATCCTTGATGAGGAACTTCACTAAATGCGTGAAGCCGTTCATCGCGGCCAGATGTAGTGCCGTGCGACCGACGCGCGACTTCGAGTTTATGAACGCCTTGTTGGTCAGTAGCGCATCGCAGACGTGCAGATACCCTCGTTCGGCAGCCAAATGCAGAGCAGAGCGACCCTCGGTGTCGAATACATCGACTCTGGCATGATTCGCTAAAAGGTTATTGACCAGTTCCATATGCCCACGATGGCAGGCAATTAGCAGCGGCGTCCAACCCACCGATGACTGACGATTCATCGCCTTCTGTATGTCCGTGGGATTCATGTGGGATATCATCTCCATTAGCACATCATTGTTGCCGGCCACCGCACAATAATGAAATGCCGTTTCCAGCGCTGTTTTCGTTTGAAGCGTCACATCGGCCCCGTTCTCCAGCAGCATGCGCACGATTTGCTTATCGGACTCGGGTATTTTAACCTCCTCTTTGGTAATTTGGCATGTGTAGTGCAGCGCTGTGGCGCCGTCATCGTTCACCGAGTTAATGTATGTAGTGGCCTTGTCCGGTCCATGCTTCTCCTTGACCGTCTCGATAAGATGCCGCACAATCTCTGGGTGACACGAACGGCAGGCCATATGAAGCGGCGTTTCCCCGGTCTGCAAAGAACAACCATTATACAATATATCCGCAATACTTAATTCTCTAAAATAGTCTTCGGTAATGAATATGGTCGCCTTTTCTTATAAGCCCTATTTCATTTACTCTGAGTAGTTCTTCTCAAAGTTTTTATCCTAGGTTCCTAACCCCTGATATTACATGACCACTCACATTAGACTTGTAGAGCGGATCGCCCCCATCTTCGAGGAGTTGCATTAGCGTTGCCAGATTGCCATGACGCGCTGCCACATGGACCGGCGTTAGGCAATCGTCGGTAGTTAAATTGGGACTAGCGCCGGACTTAAGGAGCATTAAAGCGCACCGATCGCCATCTTTAACTCGTGCGGCAATATGCAGGGGCGTCTCGCGCAGTTTTCCGCCTCGAACATGAACATCGGCACCGAAGCCCAACAACGTCTCCACTACGGCGGGCTTGGCTGACTCCACTGCGATATGCAGGGCCGTATAGTTATCCTGCGGGGAGAAGGAACTTGGTTGTAGGTATTTCAATAAACTAGCGAATCTCCCTAATACTTACGTTTGTCGTCACATCCACCTTTTCGCCCTTTTGCAGCAGCGTGTTTATAATGCCCGTGTGGCCATAAGCGGCTGCTGTGTGTATGCTACGAGCTCCATCCTTGTTGGGCATATGCAAGTAGACTCCCTTCTTGAACAGCATCGTGGCGCACTCAGCATGTCCATTCAGCGACGCAATGTGCATCAGCGTACTGCCATCCTTAGTGCGCTCGAAGATGCTCGCCTTGAACTTGTCCGCCAGGATCTCGATGACATGCGCGTGTCCATTCTCGGCAGCCAAGTGCATGGGTGTGCGATCTGCGATTCAGGAGCTCAATTAGCTTTAAGGCTCGACAATTACGGGTCCACCACGCTTACCTTGATTGTCCGCAATGGAAGCCGATGCTCGCACGCCATAGAAGAACTTAAGCAGCGCCTCATCGCCCTCCGCGGCGGCAATATGCAGCGGCGTCTGTCCCTCTCCGTTCTGCGTGTCGACATTGGTACCGTAATCAACTAGAATTCGCACCATATCTACGTCCCGCCGTCTGGCGGCCAAATGCAAGGCCGTGTCTCCATTGGCCGTCGTTGCCTGTTACAATATTCGCAATTTTGGTTAGCCGTAAGCGATAAAAATATTTCACCCGCCACACACTTTTTGAGGGTCAGGCGTCTACTTGTATTTTGAAAAAGTAAATCAGGGCCGTGAGCTCGACCACTTGCACGTTGAATGATGCATCTTTGAAATGCAAACCGAAAGTATTCGCAACACTCCTGACCTAGTTTTGAGCACTGAAAAGCACAGCGCCAAGCACAAACACGCGCACCCAACTCCTAGCATCGGCCTAGCAAATTGCGTGCAATTCCAAAGTCAGCGTCACCTTTAACCCCTTCGTTAATTTAATCAACACGCAAGAGCGAAGCCAACCTGAAGCACGCATCGTTCAGAATTGTGTGCTTGTAGACACTTTAACTTAAACCGCTCGCTTGTTTGCGGCTCAAATTGAAAAATACTCATTGCAAAAAAAAGCAAAAAAAAAACAGAAATTACGCGCATTTTTCAAGCTGAAGCCAAAATTCCCTAACAATTAATTTCAAAGGAATGGGACAACTTTCGTGGAAAAATCGACCAATTTCAAATATGGTTATATTTGACTTTTGAATGACCTGCTTTTGAATATGAAGGGGAAAATATTGAATGCGTCAGTATTTGAAGCTGAAGCCAAAATTCCCTAACAATTATTTTCGATGGATTGGGGCACCTTTCGTGGAAACCCAACAAATAAAAATATCTTCATTTGACTTCCAAGCCGCCAGCCTAAACTATCATATGGAAAATGTTTGTTAAAAACATTTGTAATCGGCCCACCAACAAAATCAAATTCGATCAGAGTAGTAGCTGGCTTGTTATGTATATGTAAACAAAACTATTCTATTGGGAAATGAAATAAGGAACTACCACCAAAGTGGCGAACTACCATAGATTGGCTCAATATTCATTCCGGTTATTGCCAAATGACTTGTTAGCCAACAATTCCCCTTCCTGCTAGTGTATATCCTCACGTTTTTGCATTGTCGCACGCGCTGTGTTGCAATTCCTTTGACGCTGTTGCCAAACTTCAGCCGTGCGTATAGTTGCCTGCCATTTGCATTTGTGATTTATGCGCACGTCTTCGGCGCTATTTTCAGCCTTTTGGCAGTTCAAGGACTAGGTAGTGGTCAGCTTAGTCCAGGTCAGTAAATATTCTACATACTTATAGTATACGAGTATACGATACAATGCTTGATTTGCATGTTCGGTTGAGTGATTGATGGAGCTTGGCAGCTTGTTGACTTACCTTCAGTTGGTCCGCCGTTTGTGCAGATAGAAGTTCCCTACACATTGACTGATTGCCAGACTCCACGGCGAGAAGCAGTGGGATTTTGCCGCGCTATATGTACGGGTGTATGAGAAGAGTGAGTGAGTAATATTCAGAAGAACAAACTTAGCATAAACACAATTAGGCTCAAGTGTGAACTCCTGAGTGAAGGCGACGCCTGTTGTCATTATTTTTAGTTTCATTTGTCATGTTGGCAACTTTTTGCGGAAACTTTGCAAACCCTCTATTGCCCTCTATGATTTGTGTAGCTTTTCTTCAAAGCCCCCTCCCTCCCGGCAAATAAAGTTGTACAATGAGAAATGAAAAGGGGGTCAACTTTTGGGCCAACTACACCCCCTGCTCATGGCTGATTATTTGTTTGTTGTTGGCAACGAGTTGAGCGCCCTCACACAACTTTTCCTTCGTATTGGCTGCATCTACATAAAATGCCGAAGCTAATAGACTCTACGCCACCAGCCAATGCGCGTGCCAGTGTCATTGTTGCTCGAGACCGTTAAACTATTTGGATGGTGTGTTAAAACAAAAGTAATGAAACGAAATAAATAGAAGGCTGGGCATCAGGCCTACGTACGTACGAATACCAGTTTGTATATTTTATTTCGCTAATTTTTCATGTCAGTGCCATTAACTGTTGCCAAGCTGGCTCTAATTGATTTATATGAAGTTGCCGCAGTCTGAACAGCCAGGCGGACGGAATGATTGCGCCTTGGCAATATCCAGAAGCAATTGTCTAGACAATCAATCGGCTTCAGTGGCATCGAAACCAAAGCAATCCAAAATAAATTTATGCATACACACCAGAGCCCGAAACCGCCAATTGCGTGCGTAGTGTAAATAACGCAGCACATTTGCACCCATGTGCACGTGATGCGACAAATACTGGCGGCTTCGCATTTACGATAAGTAAGCCCGGCCCTTTCCGACTCCCTTGGGGTCGCAATGCAAGTTAACCGCCGACTTCGCCAGCTATTTATACTAATATACCCGTACGAACAAATACTACGAGTATATTCAAGAAAAGGGGGCCAGCATATTATTTTTGGCAATGCATTTCCTTTTCGGGTGTGCTCCTTTAATGTGAATGAGTTGCGGTGCATATCGATTTTTCACAATTTGTTTGCTTTTGGACTGTGACTGTAATTTGTTTGAATTTTCTGATTTCCTGGATATGTTGCTATTGTTATTCTTGTTGCTGTTTTTATTTAACTTTTGTTTACGTTGGCAGTGCCAGGCACCGATTCGAGTGTGCTTCAAAATATTTACATCGTTCACATGCCACACACATACTCGTATTGCACAAACTTCGTAGCAAACATTATCACTAGAATATGCAACACTTTTCCTATCAGCAGCAAGACTTGTGCCCACCCAAGCAACTCCAGTTGAGAACAACAGCTATCGCTCGAATTGCTTACTTTGACGTTTTTTTGAAACTCAAAAAGGAGAGTATCTAAATAATGTTTAAGGGAGCTTCGTTGGTGCCGAAGCAATTACCCTTCTGTGTGGCCTAAAACAAACCACTTTATCACTTCATGGTCATCGACCGCGAACTATATGACCTACTGTGTCCGTACTATCATTTTTTGATTAGAACGCATGCCACACAAGCAAGTGCGATATTCTATAGACAATTCCCGTGTTATTATACTACAGGTGTTCGTACTGGGATGGTTGCTGGATCGGAAGAGACCTTTGCTTATACTACTACTACTAATACTACTTTATACTAAAAAGACGGCCTACTGCTACTGTTGGCTATGTTGAGGGTAATGTACTATAGTATGTACAAAAATGTGTGTAGATGAGTTGCTGACGGTTTCGATTATGGTGGATTCCGAGATTATGTCGACTTACTTCTCGCGTACACGACGGGTATATTAATAAGTTTCCAATATTTTCAAAATTATCAAAGCATTGGTACAACATTTGTCCAATCATCTACATCACATCTAAATCATAAAGCGTATCTGTCCACTCTTCATTATATTTTTCAAAGAAGTATATTAAAATGGTCCGAAAAATATGACTAAAATGTATGTATTTTTTTGTAGGCAGCCCAAATAATTGAAGTACAACACACTTCCACTTTAATGGAGCCAAATAAACATCTCAATATTCAATCACTTTCCCAATCATCAGTACTTACTCCGTCTACTTTTATTCGTATATCCTTGCCAGCAGCTGCCAATAGAGTGCGAAGTATATTTGTTGCAGTTCCTGTTTGTCGACTTGACACCAAATGGATAGCAGTCTGGGAGCGCGACTATATTGAAAGCCAAGAACACAATATATTCAGTATTAATCGTTATTTGGTTTTTGATTATTCATTAATTTATGAAGCAACAAAGAGAAATACCAGCAAGCATATGTGCACCTAGCTTGACTCGCCCACGAAAGTATGCTACACTATTTGTTTCTTTTCTAAAAGTGCTTCACGCCCAAATACACTCGCTTCAAAATTCAAATTACAACTGAATAAACAGCCGCACCGCTTTTGGGTCTTATAAGCACTTTCGTGTCACTTTTCTCTCCGCAAGCGTCGCCCCAACTGACTGACTGACTGACTGACTGGCTAACTGTCTAACTTCACGTGCACACAGGAGAGTGTGTGTACGAGTATGTGCTCTCATATCACAGATTGACAGCCAGCAACAGCGCCTGCTCGACAAGAGGAGCACCAGAAAAAGCCAAAAAAAAAACAATCTCATGCTGCCTCGTCGTCATTACTCATTTATAATTTCATTGTGTGGTGCGCTACGGGCTCTGACAGCTAACGGTTTCCAGACTCGCTCATGCAAGCTTAGGAACTCGCCGCAGTCGACCTCGCCACATACTCCGTGCTGACACACGTACTTGAAACTTAGGTGTTGCTAAAACAAAAGCCTAGATCCGCTGTGAGGGTGTGCGTGTGTGTGCATATGCATGTGTGTGTGTGTGTGTGTACATGCGTGTATATCAGTGTGCGCAGGTCCTCTGCTGATAAACATCAGTAATTTCGTTTTAAGTAATACCCGTTGTAGCACACCCACAATTCATGCTCTTCTACTCAAAACGCTCCCGAAATTCTCGCAATCTACGTCTCCATATCATGCGCGAGAAGCAAAAGCATTAAAATCGCGACCCAAAACATCTAGGCGCTTTCTGCTGCCAGGTTACCCCAGGTTGTTTACCTTGCGTGCTACTCTCAAGTGTTTACTTTTCGTTTCTTTAGGGTTTCTTCATCTTTGTGGTCTGTAGTTGGTTCGTCTCTTCGTTCGCAGACAGGCAGCTTAAAGAGGCAAGTCTACGCGCGCTTTAAGAACAAGCCCGGACGGTTGCGATATTACCATCTTAACCTTGTCGCCATTAATTGGCGCGCGCGCATACATTACGTGCCAAAGTCACATGTAAGACCTCTAACATGCAACACGGGGCCAGCAGTATGCAACAACAATGTTGGGGCACCAGGCGCCCAAGGGGGTTGCATCTTAGGCCTGACCTTTGCACATCAACTTGCAATTGTGAGCTTTAAGAAAATGGGCTCGGAATTTAAGCGAAAATTAATTAACTTTTTCAATTGGCGATGTGATAACAAAAGACAATTGGATAATTGCCAATAATGTTCTTCTTTATAAACAATCTCTTTCCAAATCATATCTATAGCAGCTATTTAATGAAAATAATCATTATTGGAAAAACAATATATCCTTGCGTTTATAACAAACTATTCATTTAAGCTTAAGGCCTTGAGTAAGGCGCACTTCTGTTCACGCCTTCACGTTAAAAACGTTTGAGTAATGGTTCCAAATGATATAACCAGAATATTTCACTTATCCCCTACATTCTGATGCCAACTCTCCAAACAACTGCTCTGTTAAACCATTCTTAAAACATGCCTCAATATCTATCAGTAGTGTTTTAAAAAACCAACGACTTACTTAAGTTTGAGTTTTCTAGATAATACTTAGCTTAATTCATCATTCACTTATAATTCCGAGTAATATTTCTTTAACCGCTGCTGCAAAGAAGTCTGCCATTTCTGTTTGGTGATAAACTATGTGGAATAGATTACTAAAGCCATCATTTTTAAGAGGGTAACGATTAATAACTTATTTTTTATAGGCGACCAACTTTTTGAGGCACCAGAAGGCATGAATCGATTTTTTCTTATGGTTGAAGTGCTTTATGCCGCTGACAGGTCGTATTTGTGAGACCATTATTAAACAAAAATGTTCACATTTGCGAGCAATAAAATGCAAAGTCAAATAAAAAAGTCAAGTAATATAGGCATATACTCACGCCACCGGTGGAGAAGGGATCCACGCCACGTTTTGTTAGCAACAATTTCACGACATCCTCACGCGAATACATCGCCGCAATGTGAAGTACATTGTAATTATCCTGGGGAAGAAAAGTAGAAAGAGAGACCGATTCAGAATTGTGAGTTAGAAGGAATAAATCAATTGCAAGCTAGTGAATCATTGCAAAAAACCCAAACCGGAGTCGCACGTTTCGCCATTTCCCTCCTCAACCGCGCCAGCCAAATGGCTCAATGGGTCAAAGCCAATATGTACGAGTGGGTTTGGGGGTGTTTGTGTGTGTGTGTGTGTAATTTAAAGAAAAACCACTTTGCATGCCACATTTGCTGGGCTAAGGTGTGGTCGCTTCAATGCTGATTACTTACGGACCCAACATCTCTTAGGGTGCCTTGCATGTGGACGACTTTCGCTTTTGGCCATTTCCTAAAACTCGTTAGCACACATGCAAGAAGTGCATCAAATACATGACCCTGACAGAAAATCGTGGCGGCCAGAGGTATTTCTAGATAGCATTTCTCTGGCTCTGGTGCACACAGCTGAAGCCATTACAGGTTGGCGACAATAAGCTGGGCAACCAAGCCACAAATTACACATGTGGCACATGTTGCACTTAAGCGAAAGCTGCGCCCAGGGATGCTAGACATTGCACCTGAATGGAAGAGCGCCACAAAAAAATGGGACACATATTACACACCGATTCGAATTGGGTACGCCATTAGGTTTTAGAGTGTTTGTGGAAAAGCCTATATTTAAAATTTGTCGAAAATCGAAACAGGATTGATCTTATTTTATATACTTTTTTGCAGAAATTATTATGTTTGTGAAAATATGCAAACGAGAGAAGGAAAAATCTTGTATATATTCCTGATCCATGTCACGACACAAGTTGGTAGATTTTCCCAATAGCCCACATGAGTATTAATTTTTTGAACATTGTTGATATTACAGCCTTTCCTTCCACCACCACAGAGTCTCATCCATTCCAAATTACGGAAACAAAATATTATATTTCTATTCCAAAATTCGGAATAATTTTTGCTTCTGTGAAGGAAGAATAACAGCGGTAGACTTTTTCGAGGTATAGGGGCTTTCTTCGATGGGCTATTTGGCTACACAATTTATTCATTTACAGATAAACCAATTGAAATGTTTCACAGATTAAGTAACTTTAACAGCTGGCCTTATACGGAAGATAGCTGCAGGGATTGGAACTCATAACTCTATGCAAATTGTATCCAAAATCTGACGTCAGCTAAATATTGTGGTAAATGCTTAAATCAGTCCATTGTTTTTCAAAATGTTATTTTCAATACATACAAAGAAAACGATGAATGATCGAACACACAAAACGAATGTCAACACCATGCGCTAATATTGTTTTAAGAATTTGTTTGCCTTTATTTTCATTCAGCTATACATTCTTAGTAATCGAATCGAAAATATAGGCTATCTATCAAGGAAAGAATTCATTGTTGATCACATATGCGAATACAGTAACTAGGATTTCATAACCACTAAGTAACACATGATTTTTCTCCACCTCTCTCCGTTATAGAATTTGTTCTATAATACCCAAAATTCAGAACCTACATAGACCTAACTTATCTGAATTTCGAACGTACTACAATTTTCTTCAGTAGGCTTTTGATCGTACATGTGTGTGAGTATTAAGTAAAGGTTGAGGACTTTATTTAAAGCAGTCATTACCTGGCTTATGGTTTATGGTTCCAAAAGCACGGTTCAAAAGACTCGCAACCCTGAACTGCCGTGCATTAAGAACTGGCACACACATATATATATATATATTTATCATCTTATAAGTAGGTAAATATAATATGGGAGTGAAATAAGGTAATAATATTACACATACGCGGCATGATTGGGCTACACAATGTGGTTGTGGCCATTGCGGTCGCCTGCGACCCACTGCGACCAGCCCAACATTACTATATTTGCCTTCTGGCTCGGCTTAATTTATAACACACTGCGTTGCTTTTTAGGGCTCGTGCCCCAACGGAAGTGACTTGGCTTTATGTACGTGGCGATTGCTTGACTATTTCCAGTCTGCACCGACAGCTAATTTGCATATGCCGACTGGCTTGAAGCAGCACGTACGTGTATAAGCGCAAAAGCCAAGTCAAGTCGCTGTTCCTTGATATATGTCCAAGTCGTTGACGCCGACTCCTTCCGCGGAGAACTAATGGTAAAATAAACTAGGGTAAACAGCAAAAAATGTTCGAACTGGGGACAGTAGACAGATAATATTTCACGCTTCTTATTCGCATATACTTCTATGCCGGCTCCGTCGTCTCTGAGGGGCAGCCGAAATTCAACGTGTGGCGTAGGGGTGCACGGCACAATAAAACGAAGCGAAACGAAAGCAAAAACCGGAAACAAAACAAAAACGGAAGCGCAAATTTTCTAGCACATTTTTTTCGTCCGGCTTTTCTGCTACAGAATGGAGGGCAAGCGACCCAGTTTATTGGCCCTGCTCCGTCGCTATTTTCAGTGTTGTGGGCATGTAAAGGCTTGTAAAGGCTGGTAAAGGCTGGCAAAGGCTTGTGCCCATTGACAACTGGATGTTTGATGTAAGTGTGCCTCTCACAAATGACTTCATAGCAATCTGTACTTTGCCATGAAGTCATCAGCAATGTTGTCACGACACTCACCAGTCTGTCCGCGCAGAAATGTATGCTTCAAATAATTACAAACTTTTTATTATCTTAATGCCACATTCGAATACGTGTACTCCACGCTTACTTAACGCTGCTGATGTCAGCGAAGAAAGCTTTGCATGTGCACTCCTGCCCCGAACGTCCCCTCTTCTCATGTCCTCTTGAGTAATTTCATTAATTTACAGCATAATGCGTGACATAAGCCACACGCAGGAGGCAGCACCTGGCCCGTTGACAAATTGACTGCTCCGTAGTCAGTAGTCAGTCGGCAGGAGCTACGAATTTATAAAAACTTAAAGGCGAATTTCCACGCTGTCATCGCCCCCGGCCGCATAATGACACACTAATGGGGAAAGAACTGGGAGAGAACAATAGAAAAGCTATATGACTTCCGCCAACAAGCGGCACGAAGCGTGCGAAAAATAGCGCTTAAGTCACTTTTAATTAAAACTGCATATTAATGACGCCATTGGCCATAAAAATGTAACGGAAGTATGCCCGCCCATTTGCCTGCCTGCCCAAAACCAGGGCCCATTTCTTGTAGCTCTACTTTAAAGGTCAGCACCCCATTTTTTTTTTTTTAGCGCAAATGAAGTTTCACTCGCAAAAATAAAGAAAATGAATAAATAGGGGCGTTCTCTTGGTTTTTGGCCCAGTCATGTGCTTGATTAATAGGCTTTTAACTTGCAAAAAGGAGTTGCCGAATCCACATCCACGTCCACTTTTATTTTTCCTACATGTGCTCTCTAAAATGACATGTGGCAGTCACGCCCAGGTGTACTTTGCGAGGGGGTCGGGTGCAACATCTTTTCGACAGGCCTCTACCAAGTAAATGCTAATTAGTGGCAACAAAACTCATTACATCATTTGTAATAGTCAGTGCATGCATTGTCGTGCTTAGATAACATAAGTTTCGCGCCTGGCATTCAGATAAATGGCAGGTAAGAAGATGAACACAATTAATTCGCACAACATTTGACATGACATCTGGTACTTCTAATTTGCCGAGCCAAGTCCTCAGCCAGACCACTTCAACTAATTAAAGCGTGTTTTTAATGAGGGAGGGGTAGTCAAACTTTCACCACGTGTGCGCTAATTTGAATTAAGGACTTACGCCTATTCAGATTTTGTCGGCTCCTACTTACATTTACAATTTAAAGAGTCGATTTATTTCTTTTAGCCAGAGGACATCCTTCAGGTGTGTAGAAGTAACAGTTCAATGCAAGGCTAAAAACTATTCATAGGCAGGGAAAAACTGAGTAAGTGTAATCGAGAACAGTAAGGCGGGAATCACGAAACTCAGGCACTCTTAAACCATAAGCTGGCCAAGTTTTTCTATTTTTGTGTTTTTTCAGCTTTATGTATTCAGTTCCAAAATATAAACCACAGAGGTCGAAACCAGCCAGCGGGGTGCTGAGATATCCCAGATGATGACTGCCAGATATTAATGTTAAGCCTATTTTCTTAATATTCATTAATACTGCTAGGCCATAGGAGCGGAAATGTGACAATGTGAAAATGTGAAAATGGTCAAAAATCCCAGTTACTCGACCGGTCTACAATTGCGCCACGTCACTGGCAATGGTAAGGAAAACCAGAAAGCACAAGAAAACCCAACAGAATGAGTATTCGTTTCTAATTTGCATTCAAACTGTTTTCGGTGTCCGAGTACTTTTTTCTTTGCTCCTTTGCCTTTTCATTTGCTTTGAGTTTTCTTGCTTCTCCGAAGACGAACACTCAAATAATTGCCTGTGTTTGTTTTGGTAATATTATTCGGCAAGTTTGCCAACATTTATTTTGTAATTAGGTCAAGGATTTTTTTACGCTCGTGGCTCAAAATATGCCAGGCATTTGAGGCAAGTAAATTATGTGAAAACATGACCTCTTGTTGTCACCCAATTAGTGGCATAATCGCCATATGGGCTAATCTTTAAGAAATCATATGACTGGAAGGTGGAGCTAGAAAACTCTTTTGTGCAAACATTTCAATATTTTGAACTTGAATCGCTTAAAGTTGTTCGGTACAAAAGTAGAGGGTTTCTTTTTAAAATTAGTATCTATCCATCTAAATACTATAGTTACTTTTCGTTATAGTTACTGATTTCGCTCACACCAAAGAGTATTTCAAGGATCTAAACAACTAAAAATAGCCAAGAGAACGGACGTTATTATAAATCGCCCACATGGGCATAATAATAATAATAGGTGCCCAGGGAAGGAGTGCAAAAGCAAAAGCTAAAGCCACTGATTATGATATCGGCCGAGTAGTAGTAGTCTTGACGAAATTCCCGTGGTCTCGATGCCCTCAAAACAAGTTGTTGCGTGCTTTGTTTGCTTCCTGTGGCTCGACCACCATTGGCCAAGCTCTCTTCAGTTGACCCGCTGCTGCTGTTAAGGAAAAGTGAGGTCGATGCGATTTTCCCAGCAGTGCGTTGGGTGCGTGCGAGCGGTGCGTTTGATGTTGGACACAAGCTCACCTTCGTATGGGATTTAATTATGCGGCTTTTATTGATTTGACACAATTCCATTGGCTTTGCAGCCGCCTTCGCAGCTGGCTGGCCGTAAATTACTTGTACTTTGAAATCAATAGGAGATTTATATTTTTTGTTTTTGTTTTCTCATAGCTAAGGGCGAGTTTATATAACAACCAAAGGAATGCGTACCAAACATCAAAACGTATCCATATCTTATATTAATGATTTGGTCTGTCTGCCCTTAATTCTGGTAATTTGTTGATTTCTTGTTGGTGATTATTTGGTTATTATACCTGTAAACTCTGTCGACACTCTACAGATGTGGCTATAGACACCAACTCGATGAAAAATGATGTGTAATCAAAAAGTACATCCTGGGATATACCTCTTTACGTCCATAATTTGGCTTATCTGTATTTAATTTTAATAAAATGAAATCAAATCAAATGGTTGCTCAACAGCAGGAACAAGCTGTCGCCGAAGAATAGAGTTCTGATTTATAAAACAATTATTGCTCCAGCAAAATCAAACCTCTCCAAAATAAGGATACTCCAGGCCAAAAACAAACTTGTTTCTAAAGTGCGTACTGGAAGTAGGGCCCGCACGACTCTCGCATTATTACATCTTGATTTCTTTTTGTCATTGGAAAGAAATTGTTATTGATAGACACTCGTACTTACATTATTCCGCGCACCCACATCGGCACCCAATTCAATCATACGGTCCATGATGGCAGTCCTATTTTCCTTAGTTGCGTACATCAGCGGCGTCATTCCGGTATTCTGTAAGAGATTGGCAATCATGGAGAATCAATTAATAAAAAGCTCGTAATTACTTTTCTAAAGACAAGGCTTAAATTTATCAGAACACAAAAATATTGTAATCTAATTTTCCAATATTGTGTATCTTTATTCACTCACATTATTTGCTCACTATTTTTTGTAATATTAATAAAGGTTTTTAATGCTAAGGCTTTGAAAGGTATCTACAGATTATGTGGTTAAGGAATTAGAACATAAATAATTAATTTAATTTTGTTATTTACATATCTGTTAATAGCCCTTCTTTTCTAAAACATTTCAAATTTATTTGCATTAATTACTAGTAGCTTTTAGTTATGTAGCTGTTTCGGTACCAAAATACGCTTTCTTAATCATTCAATAAGAGTTTTTAAATAAAAATCATTAAGATGGAAATAAGCTAAAAAATTGTGCCATTTATAAATTTGATTAAAATCTATTTATGCCTATCCAGGTTATCTTTGGAGCCACCTGAAGAGACCATGTAGGGGAAGCTACAAATAAATGCCTTCTATTCTTAACTTTATCTACCAAATATAATGAAATATGCCTTGGAAGCATGCTAATGTGGTGTATGACTTTATTCTAAGGCAAACGACACAAGTTAGTACTCTAGTTAAATGCTATTATACATTTTACATTAGTTCCCATATATTTAAAGTTTTCTTAGGCCTCATTACCACTTGTGTCTTTAAATTACCATAAGCTGTGTTATAAATAGCAGTTGCAATATAAATATCTCTTTCTCCCACCAACTGATTTGCATGGCATTTCCGAAGGAGGCCCACGAGTGCCAAACATTTGAACCCCTTTACTCAACGCTCTGCCCATACATATATCCTACATTGTCTTCATTGCCGGGTCGCACTCGTCTACATGGCTCTGCATTTTATTGGCATTTCTTAGCGACGACTACTTTTAACCCGTTCGCTTCGTTGCTTCTTTTTACCCCAACGTTAATTTTATGTAAATTTTATGGTAAATTGAAATCGAAGCGCTTCAATTTCCGATGTTTTATGAGTTTATCGGTAGTCAGCGCAACTTGTGGCCGCCATTGCCGACAAGAAGGCAAGACATAGAAGGCAGACATGGCAGACAAGGCAAATATGTAAATATGAGTATAATAGGAAAGAAAATCAAATGCAACCGGCATTGCCTTGGTAGCCAACCATTTTGTGCCGCTATCAAATATCACACAGCGACGTGACTGTGTCGTTATTTTGCCCAGGTAACAACAACAACAACAACAACAATGGATTGCCGCTAAGCTGCGAAGCGCAGCGTTGATAATGGCGACGCCATCAAACCGCCCAGCAAGTTGATTATTCATTCCCAAAGGCCCTAAATTGATTTCACAAGCAAACAAACAAACAAATAACGAACTAGGAAATTTTCTGGCAGTGCCTGACCAAAATACTCATAGTTCGGGGAAATTTACATAGAATTGGATAAGTATAATACATATATTTTCCTACTCTGAAAACATCACAAGAAAATCGAAGAAATTTGTATGATTCTCAAGCAATTAAATTTATAAACCCTTCTAGTATTTTATTACGTCTCATGTATTTGAATTAAAACAGAGCACATCACTCACCATATCGTGTACACCCGCAAGCGGTATGTGATTTCCTTCTTCACCCGCGTTCGCCACATATTTCTCCAGTTTCTTCAGCTCAGCCTCAATGGGCGTCCATTCGCTTTTCATGGCCAGTGCAAGAATTTTGTTCGCGGTGTCGCGTATGGATGCACCAGCACTGGGGGGCTTGGGAGCCGAAAAGAGATCCACATCCTTCTTATCGCCATTGCTTGAACTGTCATCCTTGGGATCTGAATCGGCCTTGCTGGCCGGCGTGGCACGTTCACTTGGCGTTGCCGACTCGTCGGGCGGGCCTGTCAGCGAAGATGGTGTTTTGCGGCCCACACCAGCTCCCCCCCGGCCACCGCGTCCTCTCGGCTGCGACATGGTGGCGTCCTCTTAAATGCGAGATCGCTCCGTGGTTGTTGTATTTGTTGTTGCTGCCACTCCTCCTCAATTTATGGCCATGGTGTGTTTCTCTATGAAAGATGATTTGTTTTTGTGTGTTAATTTCGATTTGTTTATATTGCTTCACTTATTCAGCCGCCATTATTGATTCATTCTTCACACACATGCACACACTTAGGCAGATGTGCAAGCTGCTGATTATGTTTGTTAAGCTTTTCGTTGCATACTTGTAGGCTGGCATTTTATTAGACCGCGCTCCTCAGAATCAGCATTGGACTTTTGCCTTAGCCTTAGCATTTTACAGTTGCCCATTTTCCGTTTGGTGTTTTGTTATATTTTACCAATATTTGTTACCAACAATTTGCATTTTCATTGGCAACACTGCGCACAGACACACACATACACACACACACACACAGTTGAAACGTAACGATGTACAAGCAAACAAACAAACAACAAGCGTTTGGCTTGGCTTGGTTTGGTTTGATTTTCTTCAGCTTTCGGTTTTTGGCTTTTGCTTTGCGAATGCAACCCACTTTCCGTACTTCCTGCCACCGCTGCTGCCACTGCCAACAAGAACGCGCCGAGAAACAGAAATAACAACGGCAACAACAACAGCAATAACAACAAGAACCTGCAACACCACCACATCCGCTTCCTATTATTCCACTTTGATTTTTTGCTTTCTTCACTTTTACTACACAATTTATATGTTTTGCTTTGCTTTGTTTTTCTTTTTATGAGTTTCGTTGCGTGTGCGTTTGCCTTTAATTTGCCTTCCTCTATTTGTTGAGCTCAGTGCTGATTCGCGCTCAAAAATGAAAACCAACCGTTTGCCACGAGCGTCTCCGAGTTTCTGATTTGCCCAGCAGAATGCTAGTTACTTAGCACCCAAGTTTAGACTACAAATTGCGAGCACTGGAGCCTTGGCAACACGACGAAAGGCGAAGACGCCGCCGCGACGCTGACGCTGACGATGACGCTGTCAGTGCCGTGTTAACTGCTCCGGCGCAGGCGTTTGTTTACAATTGTTGATTGTTTCTTGCTTCTAGATGATACGCTTTTTAGCGCCAACATGTTTTCGAGAGAGAGCGAGAGGATTTGGTCCGTAGCTGGCTCTTATTCACAAATCTGGGCAATCTCTTCTATGAAAATGTTTATTTCCTATCAAACAAAACACAATCTTAGTACCTTACTGTATGAAAGCAAACATTTTTCAGCTCCATATCCCTAAGTTAAATATCTAAAGCACACATGCCCCTTCGTTCAGTTTTCTCACGCTTTCCTTTGGAATCAACAGTTATAGCCCATTTGCAGAGAAAACTGATTGCACTTCGAAATGAAACTCCTGTAATTAATTTCACTTTATGCTATTGTTCATCACATAATTCATATCATATCCACTTTAATTAATTTTTCATAATAATATTGAACGAAAATTCCAACATTTTGTAAGTCCCGGCAAACGTTTATTACCTATTTAATTTTTCTTCTTTGTTTTATTTTATAATTTTAAGTTGTCTTTAAAGAATAAATACAAGTATATATTACTCAACTATTTCTGGAGAAATTCTAAGAGAAATTCATAAGAAGTTAACAAGTTCATAAGTAATATTTAGAGGCTCATTGCTCTCTTAGAGTTTCATTCCTTACATCATAACTATAGTCCCTTCACATATATTGATTTGGAAATAATTTTACGGATGAGTAAATAAGCTCATGGCAAAAACTTAAAACATGGATACATATATCAGTTTTCTGTAAAATTAGTTTTTTATACTTAAAGTGAACCCTTTTTTTTCTTTCAAATATATACTGAGGACAGTTTCGTTACCAAATTAGTCAAAATTTAAAGCAAATAAAAATTATCAATCAATATGAAAAAGATTTTCAGGAAGGAACATGCATCGGAAAAGAAGGAAGATGAAGACGAGGAATTCGAAAGATCCACTCGTCACTGCCGCTGCAAGCACTGCCCCATTATACATCGCAAGAAGCTCACTGAAATTGATATCGACCGACTAGAAAAAAAACTGAAAACGGTTCAATATAAGATTGATGAGGATGTAGATCAGCAGCTCAGGGAACTCGCCGAATTCGTTCATATTAAAACGATTTCCGACGACGTTGAATGTCTCAAGGAAACGGTTAAAGCGATAGATCTGATGGCTAATAAGTTAGAAAAGTTGAATTTTAAGGTGGAAGAATTTCAAATTAACCAAAGGACAACAACTTGTGCTGAAGTGCCACCCCAAAAAGTTTTATTTGCCACATACTTCTCTTCGCCCACAAAGAACACGCTTTTACTCTACCTTTTCCTAGATGTATTTCCCACAGAAGAGGAGAATTCCTGGTTCAAGAATCCCTTCTCGCTGAGTGATAGCGACGGGATTCTATATGGACGAGGCGTTACTGCCGGCAAAGGACCCGCAGTCTGCTGGCTACAAACGTTTCGCACCTGGAAAAATTTATACCACGATTTGCCCGTGAATATCAAAATAATTTGCGAGGCCATGCACGAGGTGGGCAGCGTAGGAGTTCATCAGATTGTGGAGAGCAGGACGAACTTTTTTGATGACGTTGATTACGTAATTTTCTCGTTTAATTCTTGGCTAAACGACGAGAGACCCGTCATTTCTTGCAGTCTGTGTGGCTGGGCCAGTTTTGGCCTTGAGGTGAGGGCCGGTAACAAAACATTGGACAGCGGCATTGCTGGTGGTCTAGTCTATGAGCCAATGACCGACCTATGTCACTTGATGAACTCCCTAGTCGATGATCGCCACAGGGTTTTGGTACCCGGCATAGATTCGATGACCCGCCCAATCGGTCAATACGAATGGCAATTACTGCACCAGGCCGAATATGGTGAGTACTTTTATGCCTACAAGGAAGTGCTCGATGTCCGCAGACTCAAGCACGAGGTGACCAAGATCGAGCTATTGCGGAATCGCTGGTGCAAGCCCTCGCTGACCATGCATGGGGTTGAGGGCTGCTACAGTGGTCATGGCTCCCAGTGTGCTCTGCCACTAACTGTGATTGGCAAATTCACTATCAAGCTTCTGCCCGACCAAACAGTGAGCCACATTCACGTCTACGTCCAGGAGTATCTTAATTCCAAGCACGCTGAGCTAAAGTTGCTCACGGACATGCACCTTATGGTGATCGATGGCTGTGATCCATATTTGTGGTCCATGGAGTCAAAGCATATGCATGGCATCCGAAATGCTGTAAGCAGCGTCTTTAGAGTAGAGCCTAAGATGTCCAGCCTCATCTGTCCCTGCCTGCCCATGGCCAGCTTCATTCGTAAAACAACAAAGAAAACTGTCATTGTGATCCCATTCACCAATCGTGCCGATCGACGAATGCAAATCAACGAGTCCATACCCAAGTCCCGCTTCATAAACAACACAAAAATGTATGCTGGCGTGCTCCATGAGCTCTCACTTATGCCCGTACGCTGCAAGTGCGATGTTATCCGCGACTATTGCCTCCGTCGGGGCTTTGGGGAAATATTGGACCATCAGATGCTGCCGCGGCAATCGGCACCACCAAAGAAAATGAAGAACCTTCGCCGAATGACTAATATTAAGACGCTCACTGTATTGCCCCAAGACTATCAGGATAGCAACACAAAATCGAATGATGCACCCACTACGAAACGGAGAAAGAGTAGCTTCAAGAAGCTCCTATTTCGTCCCACGAACATCTTGAAGAGTAGTAAATAATTGGGGCCACTGGAACAGTATGTGAACATGCATTTACCATATAAAATCGTTATTATTTATATTTGGTTTGAAAATAGACGAATTTATCGACCCTCAACTAGTATACTTTACTTTAAATAAAATCGCACTATTATAAGGTTGTTCATTAGCGCTCATTAAATAATGTTACCCAATCATGTCCATATAGTATTATCACAGAAGCTATCTATGTATACTAGGATACAGAACGATTCAGAGGGTAACGAAGGCGTCTGACAGAAGTAATTGTAACACCGGAGAACATATTAGTATAGAACTTTGTTGGAGACCTTCTCCGTTTTAAGAAAAAGGTGCTGGTTCTAAAGTAGAGAAGGGCCCGATATAAAGGGGAGTTTTAATGGGTGCATCGAGTAAAGCAAGCATTCCGAATTTCCACTCCTAAACTCTAACAAATAAGAGTAGGAGGCACAATTTACGATGTTACTTGTGCTCAAATATTAAGGTTTTTTGTTTTTAATAATGAACACTATTATAGCAAATAATTTTGAAAAGATATAAAATGCAATAATATTATATAACGTATCACTCCCGTTCTTAGAATTCTTTTCCATTTATGCAGTTGATTCGTCTGCCGCTTCATGTCAAGTTTGATCGAAATAGGCCAATTGCTAAAGAATTATAGCCATAAGAGTAATCTACGCCGACAATTTTAGTTAGTCTTGCTAATATGCACACACGCAAATAGATAAACGCATATACTATATATGTACATAAATATATGATTCATATTGTACCAGTATTATAATATAATGCCTATATCCTATATCAGACACATTTAAACGGAATTCCAACCAAATGGAACTATTCACACAATATTAAAAGTGCCAAAAACTAAACCTTACTACTTGTACTATATATATTAAAAAGGCATCGTCAGGCATCATAGGGAGCTTTTTAAAAAAGTACTGAAGGACTGCTGTTCGGCATCAGATCAAACATTTTCTAAATTTAAGTTTGGAAAACATCAGTATAACAAAATTAATATTTGACTTATAATAAAATTTCACAAATTGGAATTATGATTTGTTGGGGTGATCGTAGGAATTGTGGCGTGCTACTTCTAGAAGATGACGAAGGCACTACCGAGCGCTGTCGGTGCATTCGCGATGAGTGTATAGACGATCTCCCACTTGATAAGAGACAAAGGCCAAAGGAAACCGAATTTAAGAAAGTCCTTAGAAACTTGGACAACAGAACGACGAAAGACTTACGGCAGCTTAATGATATTTTAGCTATTAAATCGGTTTGCAAAGGCGCAGACTATGGCGAGCAACGAAAAATAGCCATCGAAACTATAGAAAAAACCCTGCAAGCTCTTGATTTTGAAGTGGAAGTTGTTGAAATAGGCTCAGATGTGGACAAAGGAGCAGATAGGCATTTTGTCATCTTCGCCGACTATTTTTCGACGCCTATTAAAAATACGATACTGGTCTACGGCAATGTCGACGTGATGCCAATAACTGAGCGCGAAGCAAAAAAGTGGATACATGATCCCTATAAACTGACACAAAAGATGGGGACTTTATACGGGCACGGAGTGGCAACGTCCAAGGGTCCTATACTTTGTTGGATACAAGCAGTGTCGGCTTGGATGGAGGAGACGCGCGACTTGCCTGTGAACTTTCGCTTCATCATCGATACGAACCACAACAATGGCTGCAGTGGTCTAACCGCACTATTCGATGAGCGACCGGACTTCTTTCTGCCCGTGGATTTGGTGATTTGCTGCACAAACCATTGGATTTCGGAGCACATGGCTTTGATTTCCACCAGCCACAGCGGTTACATTCATTTCTCGCTGGAGGTCATGGAGGATCCAACTAAAGAAGGGGGACGCGAACCACTTGCCGATTTGAGTTTGCTCTTAAACTCGCTGGTGGATGAGAAAAATAATATACGTGTGCCGAACATAGATCGCCACGTGCGACCCTTAACTCACTCCGATTATATTATACTGACCAAAACGGAATATGGCATAAGTGAACACAAAACCAATATGGGCGCCTCCAGACTGCCGCATGACAGCTGTAAGGCCGAAATGCTGAAGCACATGTGGTGCAAACCAAGTCTCAGCATAAACAGCGTCGATGCCAAGTTTTGCAATAGCTCCCGGGATCTTTACTACCCCAAGAAAGCGACGGCTACTTTCACCATCAAAATAATCCCCGATCAGAGTATTGATTACATCTTCTACCAAGTAAGTGAATATCTCAATGATGTTTACAAAAAGAATTGCTGCAAATCCATCGCGAATCTTCGCGTCGTCGAGAAGCTACATCCGCTGCATGAGCCTCGACATTCCCCTGTCGATCTGGCCGCGAAAGATGCCTTCAACCGTGTTTATGGACGCGAAACGGCGCACTCCGAAAATATCTGCATCTGCATCCCCATCCTAAATAAGTTACGAAGATATTGCAGTAAGGACTCCCATGCACTGCCATTGCCTTTTTGCTCGACCCACACTCGACCCAATCGGCCAAACGAGTCCATTCCGGAGGTGATGTATGTAAAGAACCGCCTTCTTTTTGCAACTCTCATGTACGAAGTGGGCCAAATACCCGCCTTTTGCAAATGTCGTCGAATTCGGAACTATTGCAGACTGCACGGCAAGACAAAGGAAGTCGATTACACCCGTGTGGTCGACGTCCGCAAGCAACTCAACACCTACCTTGTCAATGAATATGAGCAAAACAGGATCGTTCAGTTCAAGGACTCTGATGTGCCCACTGCCCGCGACACTCTACTCCAAGGTATCTCGAAAGAACTGGATTAAACCAGGAATGGATCTATCAAGTCATTTAAAAAACGGATCTTACTATACTTCAAACGTGCGTACCCCTCTCATGTACAAATGAAATTTTGTATTTTTCACAAAAAACTGTTGTTATGCTCTGTAGCCGAAGGGTACACAGAAGAGGGCGTGGCAGACCCCTCATCTTTTCCGCTTACTGTTTTTGATCTTTATTCCAGAAGTAATAAAGAAAGCCCTCATACGTGCATTACAACAAAATGTACTTGAAATTGAATCAAAAATCTGATTTCAATATCATTCTTGTATATGTAGTTGCCATAGATACGATATGATTTACGAAAACTATAGTTATGTAAAAGATATTTGGATAGTTTCTAGGGACTTCCAATATTAGTCCAAATAGACTTATGCTACATGTGTTATTAAAAAAACTCAGATCAACCACAATCACAAATTGTGTTAACATAAAGAAAAAACTAAAACAAATAATAGACCAAGTCCGGCCTATATACTCATTCTTATGACGATGTCAATATCCCAATAGTTGAAGAATATTCATACTGCTTCGCTATTGCTACATTTTCCAACTTTTTACTAAAGATAAACTTCAAAATATATTTAACTTTATTTAAAATGATCGCCAACCGACTGTTGTAGTTTGATAGTAGACAAGCTGGCTTTAGAAACCGTGATAAAGATAATCATTTAAACATTTTCGAAAGAATTTAATATGCTGTAGATCACTTAATTTGAACCATTAATACAATAAGCAATAAACAACAAATTTAAATGAAAGACAATCCACTGTAAGGCTGGCTGGCTGGCTGCTGCGATACTCAGGGCGTCGTTCTTGTTAAAGGTTGAAAGGAGAGGTCGCACTGAAGCGCACCGCCGAATTGTATTATTAGAAATAAAACCCGTGTATTTTATTCCGTCGTACATTGGGGCCCATTATTAAATTTGAGCACACTCCGGCCGGCGAGGGTACCCGCGGCAGAGCAACGTTACAAGTGGCGCCCGAGCAGGGACCCCAAAGGCAAATAGGTGGAGGTTATTCCTTGCAACAGCGGTTGTGGGAAAGCGTGCGTATCTACGGTGATACGAACGCCCATGGCGACTCCAAAGCCGGCGGGAGCGGTGCTTCCATCCATATCAATAGTGACTCCAGCTGCAAAAGCAGCAGCACACCCAACGATTCACACACACCATAGAGGACGGTTTCCAGAGACTGAGCAGTTGAGACTCGTCCACAACAACGTCCAGTAGCAGTATCCGCCTGGCTGGTGAAGAGGTGCACTCGCTCGACGAGTACGCAAGCGAATCGTTCAAAATGATTATGAAAAGCAATGTCAAAATACTTTTGTCCAGCCAAAAAATCATAATATGCTACGCAGATAATCATAGAAATGTGTTACGTTATCAGTGCGATCTTTTTATAGCCTGTACCCAAAGGGTGAACGGCTGTACTAGTTTTGTGCGCATGTATGTAACACACAGAAGGAGGCGTGGCAGACCCCACAAAGTATATATATTATTGATCAGGGTGACAAGCCGAGTCGATATAGCCATGTCCGTCCGTCCGTCTGTCCGTCTGTATGAGCGCAAGGATCTCAGAAGTACAAGAGGTAGAATGACCAAACTTGGTATCGAGGTTCCCCTGAGCCCCAGGCAGATTACAAGAGTACAAGCTATTTTACTGTCGGGCTTGCTCGACTATAGCGTTCTCTCTTGTTTTCTGTTGAAGATTTTTATATCTGAATGAATACGGTTACTATTCTAAATTTGCAGAAATATCCGGTTTTAAATTTTGCAATGTGTTGTCAAAATACTTTTGTCAGGCGGCAGGCCACGCAGGCTGCGACTGCAAGATATGGTCAGTACTTCCGGCGCGAGATGCAGCTCGTTGCCCAGCAATCACCAACATATACCACACACCGCAATTTTAATTCAAACACGCGGCGGAAATGGCGAGTTGCCAGAGTGAAGACCACGAAGCGACGGAATGGCAGCGCGATCAGCTGACTGGGAAGTTACAGGTGGCGTCGCCAGGTGGACAAACGCGAGGGGTAGCAGCGCTGCCACCCAGCTGTTAGATATCTGCCTTTCGATCATGGGGCGATGCTAGCAGAATTCGAAAACACAACCGATCGGGCCCCCTCGGTCCCTTGTGGAAAGGGGGAGGTATAGCGACGCGCTGGCTGCTGCGACACATAAGGCGCGGATGTAGTTGTAAGCCTAGTTTATAAGTTTAGTATATAAGTTGATATCAACTGAATTATATAGTAGTGTAAGTAAGACGCGTGGCGGGAGTTTAGGTTTAGGTTAGTCGGAGTTTGCAGGCGTTCAAGAGTGGACGTATAATGAAAGGCCATGTTTGTTAATTAAAATACATATATTTTGGAAACCGCGTCTTTCACTCTTTGTACTTTGGGGTGCCCGTAAATTAAATTTCAGCACGCTCTGGCTACTCGCGACAGAGTAGCATCATTATACCACAGCAAATCTTCAAATCAATACACTATCTCGAAAAAGTTAACCCGCGGTTAGTCGCTCGGTTAAGTTATCCTGATTTTAGTGTCTACATACCGCTCGAAAAGGCAAACTTTTCATTTAACTTTTCAGAGCGTATGTATTTTTTAAACCAACTGTTACTATACAAGCGTGGAATAAGTAAGATACTTAGTAAAGAACACATTTCGTTATCTGAGTTGATTACATCATAGTGCCTACGACGATATCGTTCGAAAGGTTCAGTTGTTGATGCCGAAGGTAGATGATTATATTAACATCAGCATTGATGGCATTGAACATATGAACAGGCGTCTAACTAAGGAAGATAACGGCGATTTTATCGATCAAGATATTCCATTGAAAAAATGGTTTAAAAAACAGTTACGATGCAAATCAAATGGCAATATGAGCACGGAAATGGTTAAGAACTATTACACAAAAGGATAAAACAAACAAGTCACGATTGCTCCTTTAAGCCACTCCCCACAAATTAAATAAAAGTTTCTTTTTTTTAATTATGAAAACTAAGTCATTGAAATAAATTCAAATGCGTTTTTTTTCAATTTTGAAAACTGCTAGTGAATTACTTTTGGGACATTTCAAAAATCTACTGTAATTCGAATTTAAAATATAACATCTCATGTTGCCACATTAATTACGATTATGCAAATGTAGACTGGACTTTAGTAGCCGCTATTATTTATTACTCTATTAAACTAATTTACCCGTTTTTCAACGCATGGGAGCTTTTAATAAATAAATATAATAAATTAGGTAAATAAATAAAACAAATTAAATCGAAATGATGGTTTTTAGTAATACTTGTAGTCATGTTTGGTAAAAAACTATCCTTCCTTTACCCGTTGCTAGGACTACGGCTTGTCCGTCTATATTATCTTTTGAGCAGTAATGTCCCTTGCATGCATTTAATAATAAATGAATAATCTCCAGAGACTGTTCCAAATTCTTATTTGTTTGAGAACTGATTGAAAAATGTCATTCTCAAATTAAGCTGAGGAGCTTGGTATATGTTTAAGAACTAAACTATACTGTATTTAATACAAATGATATTGCACCTATGCACAGAGGTCGCGTCAAATGCGTTACGACTTTGGCAAAAAAGCAACGACGATTTTATTTTAATCACTTAATCGCGTAAATGCAACAACAGTGTCAAACAACATCATTACATAAACAGTTGCTGTAAATTAGACCGGCTTAAAACAAGATAAGCGAGATAAAATGCTACACTCGAGCGGTCCCGAAAGTGAAATTAGTTCTAGTATTTGCAGCTTGTGAGCGTATTACTGAAGTGAAATTATTTTTATAATCTTTACATAAAATGTACAATTCATTACTTTTTTCAAATTTTTAAATTTCCAAAATTATTCTAGGCACATGTACAGAGTATTTAAAAGTCGAGACACCCGACGTGTGCTTCTCCACTTGTTCAAAATTGACCGATTGGATGAAATTTAAAATAAAAGAAAGAACTTATACATATGTATATTAATTATGAGCATTTTCAAAGGATCGGTAGCTTTGGAATTGTGTTTCCTGGGAATTACGAGAGTCTACTTACCAAAGTCAACCAACATGGGCTAAGTCGTTTCCGAAATCAAGGCGTTTATCCAAACAGATATACTTGTAGGTATTAAAACAACGACTAATTACATATGTATGTACAAGTATACACAAGCAGCTTACCCACCCACTAGCCAATCCACCAACCCACCAACTCACACAAAATACGCCACACTCCCAGCCAAACAACACTCACACACACACATACTTGTACCTTCTATAGATAACAAACGACTGATACAAAGCACAGACCCCAACGATCGACCAGCAGCGTGCAAAACTTTTCAATAGCATGTACTGCAATCAGGTTGAGCGACTCGACAGCTTTGGCTCGTGCGGAGGCTGACATGCGCGTCAAACTCTCAAACCGGGAGCTTGAACCGACTGCGATTAGAACAGAGTGCTTAGTGAGATTGCGAACTTGGCCCCTTTCGGACGTGTGTGCCCTGCTCTGAGCAACGGAACAACCGAAGTAAAGCTGGAACCAGCAAAAAATAATGCAAAAATAGCAAACATTTTAATTCTGAAATCAAGTCGCAGAGATAATGTTGAACAAAAAGCTGCAAATTGTTTCCAGCCATTTGCTGAGGAAACGAGTTACGATCAAGCTGCTGCGTTGGTAAGTTCTGGGACTCCAATAAATATATCGTGGAAAGTATGGAAAGATCTGTAAAAATATGTTGCATAGCGATATAATTCCAAAAATTTCCAATTACTTTCGATGCAAAGCAAATCGGTTGGTAACGAAGCCTCTCAAGTTCAAGTTCAAGTTCAGGTTCAAATCCTAAATGATTCGTGGGATGTCTGCGCCTAAACAAATGTTCTCAGTTTCTATTCTTCGAAACTCTTACGCAATATGTAGACCACACTATTTGTTTAGGTAGAGTGAACACTGTAAGAAATTGTGATTGAACGTGCTCTTGTTTATCTATCAAGTTATTCAGGAAATATTTATCCATAACCATGGCATGCCCATAATACGTAGTACTTAGTATTGTACGTAACTAAGGGACTCCGAATATGCGACGCAGTTTTCTTTTGTTTGATTTATTGGTTCACAACTTATTGCAATGGATCTTTTCCAACCAACTTCTTCACCTATCTGAATTGTTCATCTGTTATCTGAATTGTTTTTATTCTAAAAAATTTAACTACATACTTTACGTAGGATATTTCAGTTTACTCGAACAATTTTGAAATAACTATGATTTTTAAATAATCTAGTAAAGTTGCTATTTATAGAAATCCCAAAAATCAACAAATTAACTAAAACGTTTAGAGATAATACTTGTACACACGATAAGAAAAGTAATAAATAGATAAATGAATATTATCAAAATGTTTAGGCAAATGTTTACAACCGAAAGCCATAAAAATACAATGTAGTACATACATATATACATATTAAGTAAACAGAGCCCATAATATAAACAAAAACAAGCAACACGTAATTTCTCGCCACACACATGTGCACACATCCACATAAGCAGGCGCCAAGAACCTAAAGCTTTTTCTGAATTCAACAAAAAAGCTCGTAGCTTGCACCACAGATAGGCACCTTCAGCGAATACATACACCTTAACTGTATTTTTCGATGCAACGCATAACTGTTCTTGCTGTTTAATCGTCGATCTTTCGCGTGTGGCTTTTGTCTTAATTTTTAGTATCGTTATCATAACTAAGTACTACGAGTGCTTTAATAAAATTAGTTACAGTTCCCCACTTGCTCTTCAAACATTATACAAGTATAAACTATAAGTGATTGATCTAGGAAAGCGCGATAACGATTTATTCGTTTATGGAAAAAAAACATCATTTTGAGAGATTCAAAAACCAATGACCGGGCACTGCGCCTGCAAAAACAATTTCAAATAACAAAAAATGGATATGGGCATTTCCACAAAGAAGTCAATCTTGACCGACATATATTTAAAGATATTAAGCAACTGGTATAATATAATATTATTATCCAAGGAAAATATTCAAATTTGTTTTTCTAAATGATTTTTTCCCGAATGTATTTACCATTATGTGCAAATATATTTCAATGTTGCGATAGCCTAGTTTTTTTGAAGCTTTTTTTGTTTTCTAGTACGCAAAGAAAAATCTTAAATACAAAAATACTTGTATATGAATAATGGCCTGAATGAACCATTGTAGAAAATATGTCACCTTCGTTATCGTGCCTAAATAACTAACGAATATTATTCGATAAAGCCAAATGTAATATAAATGCACTTTATTCCACAACAGACAAGAGAGAACGCTTCTTAGAACCAACCGATTTTGATGAAATTTGAAACAAAAGTAGATAATTATATAGAAATTATGTGTGCAAAGTTTGGTTATGGTAGCTTTTGAAATGTGGACGGTATTGACGAAATTCTGTAGCAGGGGAAGGGGGGAAAATTAAAAAAAATAAAATAAACTCGTCCTTTCTCGGACCTAGGAGAATCTGGATGCCAACTTTGGTTATTCTAACTTTTATAGTTTCTGAGATCATTGCGTTCATCCAGACGGACAGACGGACGGACGGACATGCCTAGATCGATTTCTCTCGTCATGCTGATTCAGAATATATATACTTTTTGGGGTCGGAGATGCTTCCTTCTGCATGTTACATACTTTGCACAAACCTAACATACCCTTTTTACCCTACGGGTACAGGGTTTCTAGGCTAGAAAACGACATCCATTTTTTGTCACGTCCGAATCGATTTTATTTTGCCTTTGCTTTGGAACCTGGGTAACGTCGGAAATCAACCTTCCCACTAAAAATATTTACATTTGTGTAACCCTTGCCATTCACTCATTAAAATTAATTCCAATATAATAGGAGAAACATATTATTTTAGATTAATTTTATTATTTATATTCCCTTCAACAGTTTATCGGCAGTCTGTTCTCCACGAGTCAGCCACTTACATCACATCGGTAAGGAGCCGCTGGTCTACCGCAATGTGGGGCAGCAACTGGAGCTAGCTGCGGCCGATTATGGCAGTGTGGAGGCCTTGGTGTCGTGCCACGAGGGGAAGCGTTATAATTATAAATCCCTCTTGAATGAGGTAGATCGCCTAGCAGCCGGCTTCCGCAAGCTAGGACTGAGAAATGGCGATGCTTTGGGCGTTTGGGGTCCTAACTCAGTGCAGTGGTATCTCAGTATGATGGGTGCAGCACGCGCCGGTCTCGTCTCAGTGGGTATTAATCCCGTTTTCCAGGGACCCGAGCTGGAATATTGCCTGAAAAAAGTGAATATTAAAGCTCTTGTTGCGCCTGAGAAGTTTAAAAGACAGGACTATTATGAAATAATAAAGAGCATCTGTCCAGAAATCTCGGATGCCAAACAGGGAAGAATAACGAGTGGGAAATTCCCCCATTTGCAGACTGTGATTATCGATAGTAAAAGTCGCTTTAAGGGCACGCTGACCTTTGATGAAGTTATGGACTTGGACAAGGATACCGTCGAGATTACCGAGCTGCAGAGAAGCATATGTCCCGACAACGCCTGCAATGTACAATTCACATCGGGCACCACTGGACACCCCAAGGCTGCTGTTCTCTCTCACTACAATTTTGTGAATAATGGGATTCACGTTGCCAACCGCAACGAGTTGGAGCACGCGCGATGCTGTGTTCAGGTTCCTCTATTCCACGCATATGGTGTGGTGATTAGCATCATGGCGGCTCTCGCCAGGGGCTCCACTCTAGTGCTGCCTTCGCAAGGGTTTAGTCCCAAGGACTCGCTTCAAGCCATTGTTAACGAAAAATGCACTGTGATTCACGGCACGCCCACCATGTATGTGGACTTGGTGCGAACGCAGCTGGAGCTGAAAGCTCCGTTAGGGGAAATTAATAAGGCCATAACCGGTGGAGCGCCTGTCTCCCCACAACTCATTCTGGACATGAAGCAGGTGCTGGGGGTGAAAGCCGTACACAGTGTTTTCGGCATGACTGAGACCACAGCAGTGATTTTCCAAACACCACCCGGCGACAGTGAAGACAATGTGCTCCATACAGTGGGGCATCTGCAGGACCACGTGGAAGCCAAGGTCATCGATGAGCAAGGCCATACGGTGCCATTTGGACAGCCTGGGGAGTTGTGTGTGCGCGGGTATGTCACCATGTTGGGCTACTTCGGGGACGTCGAAAAAACAAACGAAACGATTGGACCTGACAAATGGCTGCGAACCGGAGACCGGTTTGTTTTACAGGAAAACGGTTACGGCCGCATTGTGGGACGTCTGAAGGAGATGATCATACGCGGCGGTGAAAACATCTTTCCCAAAGAGATCGAAGACTTCTTGAATGCCCATCCTGATATTTTAGAGGCTCACGTAAGTTTTTCCATTACAAAGCAATTCCGAAAGTGTCTCATTTTGAATTGTAGGTGCTGGGCGTGCCGGATGAGCGATTGGGCGAGGAAGTCTGCGCTTTTGTTCGCCTGAGACCCAATGTAGATCCCAAGGGCATTACCCGCGACACTTTGCGAGAATACGGCAAGGGAAAACTGGCACATTTCAAGATTCCCCGCTACATAGTCCAAGTCGAAGCATTCCCCAAGACGACGTCTGGCAAAATACAGAAATTCAAGCTACTAGAAGCCTTCCAGAAGGAAGGGGAACAAGGGGACCTAAAAACCGCCATTATATAGGTTCATGTAAAGCAGCGGAAAAATAAAGTGTCAAAAATGGAATGGAGTCGAAGAGGCCCAAAATGCACAGAAATTAATTTTGTTTTTAAAACTTATACGTACTTAACTAAGTATGTATACCTTTTTACCCTTTCAACAACTGATCGGTTATACGATTTTTACTCAGTTGTAGTATATTTTGTACCCTCCCCAGAAATTGGCATTTATATTAAAGGCAAGAAATCGGTTTAGTTTTTGAAACAATTACTATTTTATTTAAGGTTTTAGATTGTTTTGCAAAAAATATTTGAAGGTTTCTGCGTAACTCCTTCCTTGTTTTTATCCATTTTCCACGCTTCACACACAATTGGACGACAGACAATCTGTAGCGCCAGCGGTTGCTTCTACAGATTACAGATTACAAATTAAAATTACATCCTTAAAAGTTAATGACAATGCAGCACGTTATTAACTGATTAACTGTTATAAACTTTACGTATTTGTAAACTTATGCATAGAAAAACTGTTCCGTTACAACAACAAATTAAAAAAACAATGCTCGGTTAACTAAGCTAGAAACTAAAGTAAATATAGTATTAAAGCAAACGAATTTCATTTCTGCCACTGCTTCGAACTATTGCTAGCGCACAATTTAAAAACTAAATAATAAATACTAATTTAAATACGAAACATACAAAATTAAAGCTTAACTCATCAGGCCCGGCACTGACATTTACACATATGCATTATAGTACAATATGTCATATATAGGTATAGTATTTGTAATATTATGTATTGGTTGCTCCCCACTAATCGATAACTACCCTAAAGCGGGCATAAAAATGTTTTATCTAAGGACATCAAGTGAATTTGTTGTTGGGCTTCATGGGAAGGGAAGGGAGCTGGGCCGTTCATAAACAGATCATTTGAATACAATTAGAATACAATAGTTGGGTTGCTAGCCATATGTGTACAAGTATATGTATATAGGTATATCCAGCATCGTATGTACTTATTAAATGTGGCGTACGTGTATGTGTGTTTATGCAAATATTCATACGATGTCTGCTAAATGCTACCAATTACTGAAATTATGTAGGTTTAGTTTTAGTTTTCAATTTGGTTTTATTTCTGAAACATTTTAAATAGTAGTTGGTTTTCGCAATTTGCATTCTATTTGTATTTGTTTTTGTATTTGTATTTGTATTTTATTGGCTTCGCCTTCAAAACCTTGTTTCTGGCTCTGCGACTCGTTTGACTTGCATTAAAAATGTTTTTTGTTGGTTTATATCTCCCTTTTCTTTTCTTTAACTTCTCGTAGAACAGACTGTGACGGCTCCGCTTGCTTTTACTTTTAAAACTTTTCGTATGAGTTCTCAGCATTTGTTTTCATCTTCCTGCCTGCTCATCATCATCATTTATCAGTTATCATTTATCTTAAGCTAAATGCAATTATTTACACAAACTTGATAAATTAATTTTCGGCTACATTTTAAGGTATATATATATATGTATGTTTTCATTAAGAATCCATTCATTCCTCCCCCTCTTCTCTTTGAGCTGTTTATCATTAGACCTCTTATAGGCGACCTAGCTTGGCTTACTTCCTTTCAATTGTTCTACAATTTACATTGCGCTCCGCTTTAAAAGCTATCATCATCATCATCATCATCATTACCACCATTGTCGTTATCATGCCCATCTAAGTCCGGGTCCTGATCGCCGCCCACAACGAGCTCCTCTTCCTCCTGCTCCTCCACGTCATCCACATCGATAGCATCGTACGCTGCCATTTCATAAGCCTCCTCGGCTGCCTCGGCAATCTGTTCAATCACAGCGCGCTCCTCGTAGCACATGGCGCCCGGCTGTCATGCGCCATTGGAGTAGACCGACTCGGTGGCATCCACGGCGTCTTCGGACCAGCTGACCTCCATGGGCGTGCCATTAAGGCTGTTTGCCCGCTCCAGAAGCAACGCCTCCTCGATGAATAGACGCGATGGTGGCTGCTGCTTCTGCAGCTGTTGCCCTGCCGAGGCCGTGGAGGAGGACGAACTGCCCATGTCCTCCGATGAGGCCGAACAACTCTCGTCTTCAGAGTTGGTGCCTGATACCATGGCCTCGCCAGCGGACTCTTGTATCTCATGGAATTTCTTCTTCAGCGCACTCGGGTAGGCGCTGTGCATGTCCAGACGCTCGCCACTGGTCAGTGAGGAGCTATCGCAGGTAATGAGCGTGCTGGCCTTGCTGGCGCGACTGAAGAGCTCGCTGCGCGACTGCGGGGGCGAGGCTAACTTGATGGTTGAGCTGCGTGGACGCATTATTTCATGATTGGGCGAACTGGTCCGCATAGCTTCTTCGTTCCAATCGGGAACTTGGAGGTCACCTCCGGAACGCTGGCGCCTTGCGGACTTCCGTGCATACTTGTGCTTCTCGCAACCATCGCAGGTGCCCTTCGAGCACACCGAAAGAGACCGCGCTCGCGAGTGTGGGCGAGATTCTGATTCGTTGGAATGGGTGCGGATCACAGATGTGGCTGACATGCTCTGCGACAGCGGATTGGGACCCGCAGCAGCACCACTACTGGCGCCATGGGCGGCAGTTGGGCTGCCGTTGCAGCACAAGGAGTTTCCTGCACTAACGGAAAGCTGACGACGCTGGGTCGGACTACGCTCGCTAGAACAGCGCAGGGAACCCGCACGTCTGACCATTTTAGAGGCAGCCACTTGTGGCGTTTCATCATCCATTTCCAGGACCCACGACACCGAATCGTTCTTCTCAATGACACCCTTGACGATGGGGGAAACCGGCGGCGAGGTGTGATTGCCACATCGGGAGCTGCAGTTGTTGCCCAGAGAGGATCGGTTGTGGGTGAAGTTGTGCGAGTTGTCCGACGATAGCTCAGCCAGCTTGGCCTCCACCAGCTGCAACTGCTCCGATCGATGCTTCAGCGTGTATTGCAGGACCTCGTTGTCGAGCGAGAGGCGCTGGCATTTGTAGTTGTCGTGGGTGTGAGCCTTCTGGATCTCCTCAATCTGTCGCACATACTCTCTGCAAGAAAGAAAAGCAACATAAGTCAAATGATTTACAAAATAGTTCGATAGCTATTATTTGCGATTTAATATATTCGATGCCACGATCTGTCCACACATTCAATTGAGATGCGTTTTGAGAAAATTATTATGGCATCTCATATAGTATTCGATGAAAGCTAGGGAGAGTTAGGACTTGTACTCACTTTTCCTTCTCGCACTTGGCTTCCAGTTCGGTGCGAATCATTTCGTTTTGCGCCTCCAACAACGTGAGTTTATTCATAATGTTCATGCGTTCGTCGTTCTCACGCTTTAGCTCCGCGTTCTTCTTGGTCAGCGTCGAGATCTCGGACTGCTTCAGTTCCAAAACACATCGCAAGCTATCCGCCTCACTGGTCAGACGGCACACCTCCGCATCCGTGGGCGCGTTCTTCGACTCATTTGGACAATGGCGCGTCTTGCGCAGCACAGACACCTCGTCCTGTGAGAGGGCCAGCCGATCCCGCAAGTCGCGCTCATTAAACTCCATATTGGTGCGCATTGTATTGAGCTCTTTGGTCAGCACTTTAATACGGTCGGATAGTTCCTGTTCTCGATGATTGGCGATGGCCATATTACTGGCATTCGAATTCTCCAAGCATTGGCACTTCTCCCGCAGCTGTTGTTCCTGAGCCTCGGCTTGTTGCAGGCACGACTGCAGCTTGTGGACCTGCTCCTCGGCAGCTTTCAGTTGTTCCTGTTTGTGGGTTAGTTTGCGCGCCATTTCGGCACGATAGGTTTGCAGGCATTGCTCGCTCTCCTCCTCCTTTTGTTGGACGCGAGCCTCTAGTTCGCGAAATCGTTCAATGGTCATGAGGCGTTCCTTTTCATGGCTTTCAAGCACTACGAATCACAAAGTAAATAAAGTATAAGGTTTACCAAATGGATTCTCTTCACTTACCCTTCTGCATCTCACAATTGAACATGTGCTCCATTTCCTTCTCATCTTTCATCCAGTCCGCCTCCTTTTCGTGGACCTGCCCGCGCAATTCCTCACATTTCCGCTGAGCATCCTTCAGCAATTCCGTCGCCTGTTCCAGCGTATACGGACACTCACTACTATAGTCTGTTTTTGGCTTTTTATTGCAAGCTTTGTTGGTCTTGAGGAGCTGCAAAGGAACAACAGGATATTCGGCTTAGGTCAGTAGTCAATTAAACACAATAGTACAGAGCGACCCGCCATAAAACATCAACAACTGCCATGAACATTAACAACTTTCTACCTGGCCCTGTCTGAGCGGGGCAATCAAAATAAAATTCGAATTTTGCACTTTCTGCGGAAACACTGAACGTTACACAGAATCCGGATGCTGGCAAGTTATGACTACAGATCAGATGACCAACTAGGAGCTACCTTCTTTATAAAATATGACATCTTGTTGTTTCTCGTGAGTTTCGAATAATAACCTAAACACAGAATTTTAATTTTGAACAAACACTCGCTAACTAATGAAAGCCGCCTAAGATCTACTTTAGATCAGCTGTGGAGTTGCTCGCATACCTGTTGTTGCTCGGAAGCCGTGGCAAATGTAATATTGTCAATAAACTTTTTGCTGACCGGGGTGCTGGGCGTGGTCGTAGCCCAACTTATGAAATCAAAGTCCATGGTCTGTGCTGCTAAATTTTCGTTGGTGAACACAAATTTCTCAAACATTTTGTGATATTGATGGACAGAACCTCTAGAACCTCGTTGTTTGTTGTGTTTAACACGACGAGTACTTGAAGTAGACTGAGGACGCAAAGGGAAGCGCTTCGCCTTTTATAGGCGCAGACACAGGTACCCAGAAGTGTCGCGCAGGCTGCAGTAGGTAAAAGGATCGCGCAGCAATTTATTTATATGGTGTTCTCACCAGACCAGAAAATACGATTAGACCCTATGGCGGTGACACAAAACGCGGCATGCGGTGTGTCTGGATGGCATGCAGAAGGGATTGCCGCCCCAGTGAAACCAGGAGAAAAAGGACAGAATTGGGTGATGCTCACAACCATGACGGGGGCGTTATTGGTTCCCGAAGGCAACGCCTAGTGCGAGAGATGTGCAAACCGGGCTTATGAATTTGTTAACCAACGTCGTGTGGTCTATTGTCATTTGAGGAGTTAAGGGCTTTTGTTAAGCATACTCCGCCCAAGTCTGACCGAAACATTGCAGATGTCATGGCAAGGCATTTCGGGGAGGCCCTGTGGGTGTAAGTATGTGCCTATATTTCCCTATAATGGCAATAGTTGGCAAAAGCGCCGTTCCAGATTGGGTGTGCGTGTCGAAGGGGGAGCGCCTCAATGCAGACACTTTAAAAATAGGGAAGTCTAGTTCTGACGGGCTAAGTATTTAGTTCGAAGCAACAATGGAATGCTAGCATCAGACGGGACCAACTCTTTAGTACCTTGTACCTTCGTCAAAAAAAAAAAAAAGAAATTGGCTTTCTAAAGTCGAAGGGCTGAACTCTTAAATACGACAAAAACAGAAAAAAAGGTTTGTCTATATTTTTTAAATTCCTTTTTTAACCACAAAATGTTGGCAGAGGTTGGGCAGAGACTAGATCTATGTCTATGAATTCGTTACAAATTGTTCCTACACAACGAAACTTGGTATGCAGACACATAAGCACTAATTGAAGGTGTTTGCCAAAATTCAAAGAACTACGGCAGTCTCTCGATCTTGGCTACCAAGTTTGGTCATTCCAGCTATTTTACAATCTAAGATCCTTGCGATCCTTGGATCCTTCCAGACCGACTTGGCTATATAAACTCGTCTTGTCATACTGTTCAACAATATATATGTGGGTTGTGCTGCATAGTCCCTACTTAACTAAGTAGTATGCAAGCACTTTTACCAATTTGTCACTAAAACTTTTATATCTTATACATCTGCACCACAATCCTTCAACTAGAACTCCGTTGCATGGCTGCTATATGATATAGGACACCACTTTTGATAACACTTTAGAGAGATTATATTCAATAAACAACTAAGATTGGTTTTTATACCGATCTTTTCTATGTCAACTATATTATCTGGTCAGCCAATTTTGTTAAGAGAAAGGAGGTGTGAATAAATAAGATTATAACATACTTCTTAACTAGGGCTTGAGAGAGCGTACATTCAAATTCAGTCATTGGCACATACAGAATACGAGCATACGCTCCCTACCCGTAGTGTAAGAGTCAGACAAGCCCCACAATACTATGGCAATACCTACATAGCCGAAGAAAGAGTTGAGCTAAATTGCTTTGCAACTGACTTTTTTAAGGATTAACCGACTTGGAGATAGAGAATTAGATATAAATGACTTGCGCAAAATATTTGGCTGTCAAATGTTGTACAATATCCTGAAATCCTGGCATTCGCCCAGACGAACGCAGATGGCTAGAAATGGATCGTCGGTCTGATTCAGATAACACGTATAATATAAGTAGGAAATAAACAAATGGAATATGGCGAATAAATCAACTGAAGTACATATCCTGGCATGGCACCACTTGTTTCGGCCATAAGAATGTCATCAGCCGAGACGGCCTTTCCAACTGATCCACAAATTAGTGCGGCAGACGTTGCCATCTGATTGCATTGCAATCGCCATCGCCATCGCCATCGCCTGCCGCGACTGGAAACTTGTTGGCTGCCAAGAGAAGTAATGCACTCGTAGATGTAGAGATCTTGCCTTCTTGCTGTTGCGACGGCTATTGCAGTTGGCCTAGAGTCTCAGACACGGCGAGAGTGAAGGTAGCCGTTACGGCTACCTGAGGAGGAGGCAATTAAACTGTCGCTCGAGTCGGTGCACATTGGCGTCGGCATCTTAAAGTCGTCTCGGCACTCGGATGACTGCATTTAATCCTTTACAGAGTTGCTCGACATCTAGGACGTTGCTGTAGACATGCTTGTTGACAAATTGTTGTGAGCATAAGTTCTTGAGCGGCCTTCACATTTTTAGGACGGGCCATCATGATCAGCTCGAAAATCAAGAAAGTGGCACACGCTTCTAGTCAACCTTCGCCAAATGTCCTTCAACTATTGCACAACAACAAACATCGGACGCTTCGCTTGAGTTCCTGGTTTTCACACCAAGTTGTGAAAAATCGCTGGATTATTAAAATAAATATTTACTTTTGACAGCAGAGACAGCAGTTTCTGCTCTGAGTGGGAAAATCTTGAGGTTGCGTGATTTAGTTTTGAAATTCCAACGAAAAAGTCCCACACACGTACAAAATTAGCTAAATACTGTGTTTATATTTTCTTAAACATTAGGAAACATTCAAAATATACATATATTTATACGAAAACATAATAAACGAGTTAAAAAGCTAACATTATTCTTCCACTTATATCCTATACAGCTATGACTATAATATTCCCAATATGAAAATGGATTTCCATATCCTTAGATATAGGCAAGTTTTTGTGACAAGACGAATTGATACAAGACCTACATCATACAGTTTCTATGAGAGCTACTTGTATATAATATAGGGATCTGTAGTAATTTCTTAACTATCTGACTCCATTGGCGATACAATGCTTATAGAATAGAAATGTGAAATATGATGTTCATTCTCGGAACCGTCAGTCATTCTTTGCACGAACTTTGCTTTATTGTTGGCATAAAGCTGCGTAATTTCTACATACTCTATTGTCCGAGGTACGTAGGGTGCCTGCCTGCAATTGTTTCGAAAATACTCTGCACATAATGGACATAAAGCAAATGGTTCTGACAATGTGCACAACGTTAAAGCCAAAGGATTTGCGCAATTGTCAGCACAGACGCAATACGCACAAGGGAGAGCACAAAGAGCTCTTTCAGCGAGCCTCGTGGGCTTTCTTAGGACATGGAGTTTAATTTCGCGCTGGTACGGCTTTGGAGAAGCTGAGATTATCGCATAATGTTGCGGGCACATAAGACAGGACATGGTTTACATTGCGACTTCAATTGCTATTCAGTAGCTGTTCATAACGTGAAGTCCACTAGAGAGCTACAATTACTACAAAAGTTTCCGAGTTTTTCAAGACTTCCAACTCGGAACTTTAGTTTAAATATACAAATCATGGGATTGGTACACCCTTTTATGTTCAACAAATTTCAACTTAATGTAAGATTTTCCAACTCTACACTACACAAATTAAAGGAGGAATTTGATACTCGATTGGATATTCTGTAGTAAGGTAATTAGGAATGGGTTTACTCGTTTTGCAAGACATTTTCTTTGGTAATTAATGGTTTGTGACAATTCGGCGAAGAGGGAATATTATGTTTACGCCGCCGTTTAGCAGTTCGTAATGGCAGACTTTATTGTACATGACAGATTTTTCATGTAAAATTATGTGGAAAGTATTTGCGGTTGAGAAGTCGACACAACACAAACACTATCGTAAATAGTTATATGATGCGATCCAAAAACACATGCACCTTCTGCAGAATACTTTCATGACATTATTATTGATATTTAATAGTGGGTTTTGTGCAGGGCGAGCAGGTAGAGGACATCCCTTCGTTGATGTTCGAAAAATGAGTGTGTGTGAATAGCGAATCTTTAATTGGCAGAATAATAAAATCTCACACTTTGAATTTGTCCAAAAATTGAATATTTTCTTCGCAAATCCAATGCATTGAGATCAAAGGACCTCATTGAAAACGTGCCACAGCTCACACCCTTTCGTTTGAGGCAAAGAAAGAGCTTCACAGCACAAAACTCTACTTCTTCTCGAATGCGAACAAAAGCGGACTTTGGTGGCAGCAGCAGCTGCAAAATTTCTGTGTCCTTTGGTTTTTAATTAGTGCCAACAAAGAGCACAACCTGGCTTAGGGAACTGCTGCTACAATTAAACAAAATTAGCTCAAATTTAAGCGCAGCTTATGGCAAATTTTTAAAACAATGAAAATCATCTGGATCAATGTCCAAGGGGTTCTCTTTGCGACAAAACCAATATCCTGAATGGGAATTATTTGAGCAGGATATATACTCGTCCATGGAATAAAAAGACTATAAATGCGAGTTGCTGAGAGCTCATGTGACCTGCAACAGCAGGCCCTTTAAAAGGGTATGGCTGGGAAGGGTCTGGCGCCGCTTAGCAAATCCTTTTGCAAGATTTCCATTCATTGCTAGGCCACCCGGAAAATATCTGTTCGAAGAAATAAAAATGGTAGACTTACTTCATCGGATATGTGCTGCACCACCATGGCGAGTCCCAGCACTTGTTTATCCTGTTCCTTCTGTCTGTTGTGGGTGTTCGCCACAAAATGTTCCAAGCTCGTGCAGTCCAAGTGTTCATTCTTCACAAAGGGCTTGAGTGATGGACATTTTGAGCACAGGTCCTTGGTGACACTTAGGCGGCACCTTCCTGCACGCGATCCTGTCGCGGGCTTGGGCTTAACGGGGGGAGGCGACTGGCTGCGCCCGCATTGTGAGCTTGTTGACGTCTGAGGAAGAGAAGGAGACTTGGTTATTCAAAAGCTGAAAAGGATCCGTTGTAGTGAGTAATTTAAAAATTTCATGATCGATTAAAACTACTGGAGGACTAATACCGCTATTACATCAAGGAGATAAATCTCGCAAAGCAACGCGACTTACTTGCTGAATTTGATCGCCAGGTTTGTTTTCTTCGGTTTCTGGGACCAACGGACTTGATGTGGATATCGAATCAACAGGAGAGTGCTGCGAAGAGTTAGGCTTACAGGGAAGCCGGAATCGGGTAGTTTTGGACCCCTTGCAATTGCATTCTGATTCACTCAATATTCTACCACTGCAATCGCATATTATCTGATCTTTCTCGCTTTTGCAACTACTCGTATCTTCGGGGGTAGTAGGGGTAGGTGGAGTAGAACTATTGCTTTTGGGGACAAAGGGCTGCATCAGGAAGTTGCCTTCTATTTTAGCACAAGAGCAATTTTTACACATGGCCGACTTCAATTGGTTGATAAAACTCGTATTGCAGTATTTTTTCACAAACTCATCCTTTGGAATCTTTCCACTACTGTTCTGGGAGGTCTGATCTGTAGGTTTCTTAGTAATCGATTCTGCGCAATTGCAATTATCAGGGTCATTCATTTCCTTAGCACTGTCCCTTTTCGTTAATTCCACACCAATATCGACATTGCTTTCATTTATATTCTGAGGAGCACATGCTGTACTTTTTTGTGTCTTAGAGGTTTCTTTTGAGGATCGCTTTCCTTTTGACTCTACACAACAGCATTTGCTACTTTTTGAGTTAGCTATACACCTATATTCCTTTTTCTTAAGGGAGCACGTTGTATCTTTTAAGCACTCAGAGGATTCTTTCGGGGATTTCTTTTCCTTTGATTTTGTGGATTTGGTGGAACTACAATTGGCAGAGGTATGCATATCAATATTCGGAGGTGTATATTTCGAATCCATGTAACATTTAGAAGGCTCTTCCATTTGATTTTTATCTTTTGATTCTCTGATACAATTGCAAATGGCATGGATGTTGACAAGGCTTCCGCTTTTGCTTAAGTTCGTGGTATTATGTGCCTCACATTTATCCTGGCAGTTAGGAGTTGAATCCCTAGGGGAGGGCTGTTTTATGTTCAAGTTTTCTACTGGGTTTGCGCAACCGCAGCTTCCATGAGCATTATTGTCGCTTTGTGTAGAAGAGTTGCAACTTCCATGGTTACTCTTGTCCACTGCGCATTCATTTTGGGTAGAGTTCTTAATAAAACAGTTGCACGTAAGCCTATCATCAATATTTGTGTCGTTCACCTGGGGGATATCAATTAAATCTTATTTTATGTAGACGATTGTTTAATATTTAACTTTCCTACATTCAGAAGGCAAGGGTAATTGGCAGCGGCATAGTTATCCACAGCACAGTTTAATTTATCATTAAGGATTCTAAACTCATCTTTACCATTTGCATTCGCGGAAACGTCGCAAGCTCCAAAGTTTGGTGATGCATGAGATTCGGGAAAATCCAAAGGTGTTCCGGCACAATATCTCGATTCAGCTTTACCTTTATAGCTTTTGGTTAATTGCTTTGAGCACGGGACTATTTTTCGTCGTTGCCAGTTGCAAAATGCGGATAGCGATTCACCTTTCCAGTGGGAATGGGAGTGCGAGTTGGCACAACATTTCGTATTTGCGTTTATATCGGACGAAGTGCAGTTCTCGGCACTTTTTTTGCTTTCTCTTTTTTCAGTCATCTTCAGTACTGCACTCGGCCTACTATTTCTTGCTTCTTTGTAGTCCAAGGGCTTACTTTCAAGAGTGAAAAAAGGCTGTTCCGAACAGAGGTTAGCTTTGGGCTCCGAGAACGTGCAACTCCCTCCACTGCAATATTTGTGACCACAAGCGCACACTGGTTCAGGGTCGCTCTTCCGACTTGCAAAGTTTTGAGAATTCCTATTATTTGGAACTGTGACGTCGTTTATTGAGGCGCATGGGCACAGTTCTTTAGCAGATCCGTTACTACCTCTGGTCATCGATTTGTTGGAACTGACGGAGTTCCTAGCTTTATACTGGGGCTCGGCTACAGGTCTATTCGACGACTGAACATTGCTATAATAACATTGATAGTTGGCATTCGGTTCATCATTATATTTCCAAATCGGAGCCATGTCCGGTTTATTCAACACGCACTGACTCTCAGCCGTTTTACCTTTGTGCGATGGTCGTCGCCTCGATGTCAGTTTAGGGGTTAAATGGGTAAAATTCGGCCCAGTATTTTTCTGAGAAGAGGTGGAAGCGCGTGGAGCATCTCTGCTCTTTTCTTCTGATTTTCTTCTGTAATTGATCTTGTGGTAACTTCTTGGACTCTTTACCCTTTCCAGCTTTTTATGGATTGTGCTCCATAAACAGGGTGGCTGTGCTGGCCATTTAGTGGGCTGCGGCGGATACTCTCCACCGTATGCACACGGAAGAGGCCACGATTGGGGTTGGCAACAGCTACACCAAGGGTCCAGCGGGTACGCGGGGATGCAGCAAATAGTGTCGTTACAAGCCATGCACTGAACGTGGGGTCCCGGGCAAGCAGTACATCCATGACCAGGACACATGGGGTCGCGACAAAGGCATATTGTCGCTATATTGTTCATATTGTTTGAATGGCGAGTGCATCCAGTCCTTTCATAACTAGGTATGGAGGATGCTACGGATATAGACATCGAATCTCTGCCAAATCCCGTCCAAACATCTTGCAAGTTATTTATCGATTGTTTCCTACTTGGACCCGAGTCAGTCGAGATGGAGCTATTTTCGCATTTGCTGGGACGCTTTGAAACATTCTGGGAGTTGTAGGACTCATATTTATTGTTGATAAAAGGACAATTGTCTGCTGTGCATCTGCATTTGTAATTCTTTTCCGACTTATCCGACTTATTCGACTTATCCGACTCCCTTTTTTGCTTCACGATGTCTGCACCCTTAAGTTTTTGTCTCGTATCTGGTCGTGGGGGAGGCTGTGGGGCACTCGCCCTATAGCTTGTAGAAACAAGTTCTACCTCTGAGTGTATACTTGATCTGATGCTGTCGCGGCTTACTGCGAAGTTCATTTGCGATATTGTGATTACGTGTCCTTGGGAATCTCTTGGTGTGAATGCGCCTGTAGGTTTTTCCTCTTTTTGTTTTGTGCTTCCCGTACTGGCTCTATTGCGCATATACGTTGAAGAAGTCCTTGGTCTATGATTACGAGTATCTGTAGATTTCCTCTGTTTCTGTAGGTGGGGTGCACGATTTGGTTTCCAGCGCATAGTCGATAAAGAAGCCCTGGGCCTGCTGTGCTCCTTCGGGCCCTGCTTAGGCTTTGAACCTCTACAGGTACATCCACGACCCGAACAGCCTGGAGCACCACAAGTACACACAATTCTATTATGGGGATTGCCTCTGGTATCAGGTTTTAGTTTAGGTTTTATTGCTGGCTGTGTAGTTGCTTTTATCCGCATATTCGGTGTAGACACTCTTCGGCTATTACTTTCTCTTGGAGGCACTTTAAGCTTTGATGCTCTGCGACCACTATTGCTGATTCTAGGTTTTTCTTTTGATATAACGTGGGCATAAGACGGATCATAGCTAGCTTCTACGCGCTGGTTTGATATTGAAATTTGTGATTTGTTACTAAGTCGTCCTCTTTCTACTTGGCCAAAGTTAGATATACTCTTGGGTTTCTCATTGGGCTGTAGATTTTCTTTTATTTTACTAATATGCACAACCATATTATGTACAGATGTAGAAGCAACGGATTTACTTCCTCTCCCCGACATTTCAATACGCTGCGGCCGACTACAGCTGCAACCCTGCCCGGGGCATCCCGGAGCGCCACATGCGCAGGAATTGCCCGTTCCTTTATCATAACAACTGCCTCTAGAAGTCAAATTAAGATCCGCAATAGGTTTCTTGATTGTCCCGTTTCTACTGGGCCTTACTTTCGCTGTCGAAATTGGAATTGCTTTTGGATTTACCCTTGGAGAAGGGTGACTCACCGATCGGGTTATCTTTAATTTATTTCTGGGATTATAAACCGGTTTCATATTCCTCTTATTTGGAACATTAATTATACTCGCTGAACGATGAAGCCCTGAGCTCTGCCGGTCAAAGCCCTTATTAACACCCAGGGACATGTCTGATTTGAAAAGTTAAGTTTTATTCTCATGTGTGCATTAAATTTCAAAAATGGATTAGCTTACTTTTTTCAGATTGATTTTTCATTTCGATTACACTTTTCAGTGACCTTTCAATTTTTTCCCGAAGGGCTAAGCTGATTGCCTTTACGCAGGTCGTATGGGAAAACGTACTTTTCGGGAATCTCTTTTGGGTGCTAATTTTGTTGTTGTTGGAACTTGAGGACGTATTCTTAAGATTCTTCTTTGGACAAACCTTTGTGGTGGTTGTCGAAAGCCGGTTTTTGAAATTATTTTTCGGATAGACCTTCTTGCTTGCCTAATTCATGGGATAGTAGTGCTTACAACTAAAACTACAACTAATACGAAACTCAAATTGCTTACCTCCGTGGTTCTGTGAGCTGCATATACATCCTTTTGCTCAGGAGCAATGTGTGGACAGTTACTTCCGAGGTTAACTCTGCAGTCCTCAGCAGCAATGCCGTCGGCACCCGCTGTCATCGGTTGATCATCGGTCGCAATCACATTGACGCCGGATTGATTCGCATCTTCAGGGTTGCTCGCGTCGTGGGTTCTGGATTGCCGTTGGCAGTCATTGGGCTTCGTGGCATCGAACCTTGGCGGCGTTGAAGCTTGGATAATTTTCTTATATTTAGCTTCTTGTCCCACGCTATCGTGCCGTGTCGCTCTGAGTTCGGCCTCGTTGGTGGTAGGGGGAGTGGATGCTCTAGTCTTGCCTTTAGTTTTTACCTCTGATTCGGCACATTTTGGAACTTGTAGTTCTGTGCCAGTCAGCTCGTGCAATTCCGTTTGATCAAGGCGTATGGATTCTGAAAATGCAGAGTAAATATATATAGTATGTGTTGTATTAGTTTTCCCCCTTCAAGCCTAAGATACGCTTACAAAGATAATGATGACCCAATGATCGTACTATGACTCACAGCCCAACTAACTCTCGCCCATCTTCTGTGCAATGATGACTTCAGCAACGCTGCCAAGCGTAAACAGATGTGAGTAATAAACTTACTTGTTTCTCACTTGGACGTGCTGACAAAGCCCCATCAGCTTTGACGAGAAAAAGAAGACAATTTCTTTTTATATAACTTCATTAACCAATTTTCAAGCCTGATGACAAAACTGCGACTGGAAAGGTTACAAGCAAATTGGAAAATCGCGGGGAAAGTAGCCAACATCTTCATCATCAGTTGCGGATGATTTGAAAAACTACAAGGTGTGCTTGCCAAGCCTTGTCACATGCCGACGTCAAGCCCCTACACTCAGGTGTTTTATTAATTAAGCACACACATCGCATGGCGGAGAGCTTGCGAATTAGGGCATGTGTCGAGCTAATAAATTTCTCCATTGCAAAAAGTTCACTACTACGCGTATTGTACGTATTGTAATGCAAACAAACAACAAGCTTGCAAGCAGCTGTTAACACGGTAGTGACGAACAATCCAGAGACCAATGATCGTTGTTAGTTGATCGCATGCCCCGAGCCCCCAGCAACCTGCCACCAGTGAGCAGCATGGCTACAATTTACACGATTTCCTTACAAGCGCGCTTGCTTGTCCATCCATAATCAACCGTTGCGGTCTCGGCTCGGGCATCTGCGGTCTGGTCTGTTACCGCACAAATTTATGACCAAGCGGCAGATACAACGGCAGCACACGAAACTGTCAACGCTTTTCACAAATTGCCCATAAATATTGCGAAAAGCTGTGAGCATGTGCAGGAAGAGTGCGCCGTATTAAACAAATTACTGGAACTGCCTCTTATTCAGGCGCGACAAGTGCCGCTCGATCCTCGAACAAGCTACTCTGAATTGGGCTGGATTCGATGGACTCTGAATTTCATTCACCACCCCATATGTGGCTATTTAATGAGTGTTTGCGTTTGAATTCAAGCAGGAAAAAAACCAGTGCGAAACTAAATTTAAATGCACCCCGTTTGAATGCTGTCTTTCTAAATAACTAACTGTAGGTCTCTAGTAAAAAGGAAGAAGCTAAGGTAAGACGATTCAAAAGGTATATTCGGTATTATTTATTACTACCAAACAGCTTGCGTGTGCTGCCTTCTCTCCCCTTAATTGCATTTAGACAGTAAATCAAAGTTGTGATTGAGGAGGAGATGAGCGACATTCACCTTCGCCCAGAAGCTACCTTATTGGTTGTAAGTCTGGTGTAATACTAGTGTGTTTGCCTTATAACATCCAATATGCTGATTCGGTTTGGGCGGGCTTCGACCCACTCGATTGACTCGCACTAATTTGCTGTAGAACCACTAACTGTTTGCCATTGGGAAAACCCACGTGCCAAACAACACTTACTCAATGAACCTGAAACCCTAAAACATTGCTGTGTTATTCCAAAAGTAAAAGTCTCACACAAACGTACAAATAGCTGCCATATAACTACTGAGGTGGTCGGTCTGTTTCTTTGCCATACTATTTGGGACAAAAATACCCAAGAGATCGCTCGCTGTGCGCGTTGGGCGACTTTTCGAACCTGTCTCCCGTACAGGTACTGTATCTACCTGGGGTTCTGATCGCTCTGTCAACAACTTGTCTCGTCAATTTGCAGCGCTTGGTCGTGCAGCGTGAGAACATTTTGTGGCAGCTGCTATCCTCGAAAGTGTCTGGAAAGTACGCACGAGGCGAGATCAGCTCAGATACCAAGATGATATTGCGCACATATCTTGGCCTTGCAATTAAATAGTTTAGCAGTGTCATGTCGGCTGTGAAACTAATTTCATTTAATGCCTAATTGCCGAGCATGGGAATACGTGATGCGTCGTGTGTCGGGTCTGCCGCCGCCTTTCTTACGGCGTGTGCCATTGAGAAGACACAAGATGCGGATATTTCGCATCAGGTGTATTGCCAATGTCTTTGCCAAGGTCCCATAGAATATAGCTTTGAAAGACTACATATATATCTGCAGATATCATATGCCCATAGAATTGTCAAATAGGAGGGAGTATACACAACCAGGGCAGAATATTATACATTTTTCAATAGATCGGCCAAATATTATAGTTATTTCAATGGCTAATGAATGACCTTTGCTCATTTGAAGGCTTGTAGCATTACTTTTAAATACTTTATAATAATAAATTTAAATTTTTGGTTTCCCTTCTAAGCGAAAACTTCCTTAATGTTTTATCCGGACACTCTCTTCGGCGGACACTTTTTCTAAAACATGCGATCGGTGTATAAAGTATTTAAGTATCCCCTTAAGCGGACATTCCCATTGGGCGGACAAATTTAGCCAAGAGAGTTTTCACTGTACATATATAGTACACATCCTTCCATCGGGCTCTGAGCAACAAACAAATAGCTACGAGTTTTCCTAAACTTAGGGATATTCCATTTAAGTGCCCGACCAAGCTCATAATGACGGTTAGGGTTTCATTCGAAATCCCAACAGCATGTGTCGTCGCTGCAGTCATGACTGTGGTGCGGTGGTCACACTGAGTTGCACTGACAAACACACACACACACACACAGACATACAAAGTCGGAAAGCCGCGCAACAGCTGGAGATGTACGAGTACAAAAAAAAAAAAAAAATAATAAGAATGCGAAATTCCAAATTCATTTATATGGCATTTTCTACTGCCTACAAGATTGATTGACGTACTGAATGATGCATGTTGCATGTGCGTTTGTCGTCTTTGCCTTTTAAGTCAATTTTGGAAAACGCTTAACCTGTTTTCCACTCGCTGACCAAGCCTTGTCACTCGACTGCATGCCTTAACCCATGTCGACTCACGAAATCAGCGGCACAAACTCAATGCAAACCACTGGCGACTGCAATCGCAAGTGCGTGCAATTGGAACAAAAGCAAAACTTGCAATTCAATTAGCCGTGTTTTAGAAACGTACGAAATCACTTGAAATTAGACGCCGCTGTCTGTTTCGTTTCACAAGCTTAGCCGACAACCAGACTGGACTTTTTAATTGCAATTTAACTGCAAGTCTCTTAGGCGGCCATTGGACAGGGACTGCCGTTGCTGGTCTTTATCTTGGTGGGCGTTGGCAGTCGAGAACGCCATAAATTTCAATAGCTCCATGCACATTCCACTGATAGAGGAATCAGCACGACAAGTGAATCAAGATGTCAGATTCTGTGAAGTTTGCCTTCATTTAAAACATCCTTTTAGTGTGACATCTATAGGGAGTCCAGTCGCATATCCTTCAATGTTCTTATTTGAAGGGTAGAGGATGCTATGAGATCGTTTGCAGTAAGACTATTCTTTACAGCCATTAAATCTGCTCATATTCAGTCACCCTCCCATTGGCGGTGAATAAAATTCGATGCAAAATTTATAAACAAATGATTCTGTAAACAACACAGCACACACCAAATACAAGTAATAGTCAGCCAGAGAATAACTTCTGTCAGAGACGGATGTGGCTGTTGTATACATTACGTATTCGCCGATTAAAGGCAGCTGCTAAATGTCAATCCAAGAGATGAACAAAAGCTATTTTATGGACACGACGCCGTCGAGAGCAGACGTTGATGAAAGCGAAAGAAAGACAACGACTCAATGGCTTAAATGGCTGAAATGTGCCCCATTTTGAGTGATATCAGGCCTATGATGAGTTTGTTACTGTTGCTTGTCTCTTCATGTGTCTCCCTAATACAATTTTCAATTTTCTTTCGCATATGTTCATGTTCTTGCTGGCTCTGGATGCACTTCAAGGTCGTATCCGTCATCGTATGTCTAGAAGCTGGGCCAATGTAGTTGTTTGGCGCTTTTCACTTGGCACACACAGAGATGGAAAATGTTCTTTGATTTTTGGCACACGCTCTAATGATTATTTTTAGTTCGGTTCTATTTTGTATCAGAGCGCGGTGCTTCGTATTCATGTAACAAGTTTATGCTTTATTTGGCGCAAAAATTACACAAAATTGAAAAGAGAACAATAATGCACAAAAAAGTGGACCTATTGATTGACTATACTTTTGTGCTTCCTCTAGACCATTTGGGCGTTATAAGCGGTTTCAACTGTATTTTTAAATATGTATATCTGAACATATTTTAGTTAATGCCTTTTGAGCATTTCATAATGTATCGTCGGTCAAGTGCACGATATTGTGAACAAGTGGAAATTGCGCAGTTTGTAGAATTCTCAATTTTAATTTTGAGTGGAATAGAATTATGTTTAGTATGTAGGTATATACAATGCTCAAACATATATGTACTATATATATTAAGTGCCTTTTGGTGTATATTTTAAAATGATTTCATTGTTCATTTTCCGCAGTTTTTTATCCAAAGCGTCTTTTATTAATTCCAACACAGCAGTGATATTCTAATTTTTATGCTGGCATGCTCGAATGCAATAACGAGTCGTGAAAAATCGAATATTCCCTTGAGCCTTGAAGCACACTTGTGCATCCGTGAAATTTCCACACTTACCACCGAGGCCCTCGTCATCTGCATGGCTGTTGTCATAATCGCAGACTAAGAGGGACGCACTTGAGGAATCTACGCCCACAGTTCCGCCATTTTCGTACGGTTTCAACATAACGGCTTCCGCTCTATTTGTTTCCATTCTGCTCGGGGCATTCAAATTTCTTGCACAGTCACATTTTACGCGGCACGTAATGAACTACTACGTGTACTACCAATTATAATTTTGTGGGTGGTTGGGTTGGTTGTGTTTCTCCATTTGGCTTTGATTATAATTTTAATTGCTGCCTCTTGACACTTTGAAATATAATGAGCCCTGCCCTCTCGGGAACATTTTCGATCCATAGCACATTTTTGTTGGCGTCAAGCGATTTCTTTTAACCCATTATTGCAACACGAAAACGCGACGA